ACGTTTTTGCATCAAGTTATATGTAATATGACTACAAGTTACATTTTAACAATGTTTATACATGTTATTTCAATATTATTATAATAGAATCCAGTTTAATTATAGTGTTTTATTAATCAATTAATAAATTCCTTTAGCACATAATTCTTTAATAATATGTGGTTGAATGCCGCGTTCTTGGGCTCATCCCTACATACGTCACTAATGACAGCTATTGCATACTTTGATAATTTGACGTCTTTAAGAGACTTAGGTATTAGAATTTAAAATAGTTGATGATATATAAAATGCCGCTTACTTATTATATTGTGTATATACAGGGTGACTGGTGAATTAGTATCGATACTTGAGGACGTGATATTTGACGATCATATATGACAAAATAAAAATTAATATAACATAAATATTAATAAACTTCTAAGTAAAGTTAACCAAAAGTTATGTAATTAATTACGCATCGTGTGAACACCCTACAGATTAGGTATACACACACACACACACACGCGCGTGCGGCGGCGTCGTGTTGTATCAGCACGCCGCCGCACGCGTCCACACTTGGAACACTTGGAACGTGTCCTCACTTTATTTATTTATATGGAAATTTGGTCAAAAATTAAGTACCTATTTTTTTTACACAATTCGAATGAGAATCATGTACCGAGTATTCTCCTTAAATATTGATAGTAATTCACCAGTCACCCTGTATATTAAAATATCCTGCTTACTTATTATCTTGTGTATATATAATTGTAAATAGTAATTTAATCCTGCGAGGAGCTGTCTGTTTAAACTTTAAGGATCGACTGTGAAGTAAATTGAAACCTCAAATTGACATCTTAGTCTCGAACAATGCAGTGAAATATGATATTAACAAAAAACAATTTTGTGAATCATATTATGTCGAATGTTTATACGTTTGTACTGGTTTATTTGTAGGAGCTTTTATTTTAGAGCCATATGTATGAATTCTAAAGATACATAAACGTAAATACACAAAATTATATGCTTAGTGTTACAAGAACACATTAGGAACTAAAGTTTTATTTAACAATGAGTGTGCATTGAAGATACACTAATAATAACGCTGATAAAATGTAAATTTATTAATTTATGTATATTAGTATGCTTGAAATAATTTTACGTCGTCATTACACATGAAGTGTCGACGTTTTCAGTGTTCATTCATGAATCTATGTTTACACTAAACGGAGAAAATTTATTAATGGATAACTTGAAACGCTCCGCATTTAGTGCAGAGGTGTTAAATTGTGATAAAGCCTCTATACATCTATTTGTTTTGAGGTTAGACTAAGAAATTAATTGTATATTTATATTGTTTTGTGTCTTCTTAACGTGTTCACTTAAAAATTCTTAAACGAAAAAAAAACACGAAATTAAATACTAATTATGCCTAAATACCGAGCAAAGCAAGATGTCCAGATATTGTTATAAAAATCAGCAGTTTTCTTACACAAACAAACAGATCCTCAAAGATGCGTAATTACTATTCCTATCTCAATTAATAGTACGTAAGTGACTACTAGATGGCGCTGTTTTTAAATTAATTTTGTACAATAATAATTGTAGCTCACAATGCAGCTCTCGACAATCAACATCACTTTTTGTTAGTACTATTATTCTTAATTGACCAATTATGAGACTAGCTATTACTTTAATTAAATATTAACATGATTTATTGACAACGGAAACTTAGTAATACATCATGAATAGACAATTAAATAACAGCAAAAAATAAGATAAGTAATGAATTATACTTTACGAATCACGTTGTGGATTACTTCGAATCAATATTTGATTTACTTATCTATACAAACATGATCATTACAACAAAAATTTTCCATGGAATTACTTTTTATATCTGTATTAACATCCGTACATAATACATAAATATTTACATATAAATATCTATATTATTACGATTAAATTTAACGATTTTTTGCCTGTATGCCCATCCCTAAAACACCGGTAAATTTCACTGACAGATAAGTGATCTTAGACAATTTGTAAAAAAACAATGTTGTGCAGAATTAATAATAATGAATTATGAACAATGTTCAGTGTAAACGTATGTACATATATAATCTAATAAATTTAAATTATATAGAAGCAATATTTTAATAAAATATATATCTTTTAGATTCTCTTCGAATGTATGTAAATCTCGATAAAAGTACTTTAAAATATTAATGAAAATAAAAAACTTGAAAATACAGGTATCTACTATTTATAACGAATTTTTTAGTTTCAACCTTTATAATATAAATTATTTACTTTTTCTTACAAATATAAGTCAATGTAAAAATAATGAGTCGTAAGTCGCGGTCAATAGTTCGTATGCTCTAATATAGAATTCTTTTGTACGTCTCAAGTGTTGGATTGAGGTCATTACTACAATAACATACTAGTGCTGACAGAAGGATTACGATCCTAATACAAATGCTAGGAATAGAAGAAATCATTGAAAACCGATAATATCACAGCAAAGAGGTTATATAACTATAGATATATTTGACAGAATTAAAACATATTAATTTGCGTCGTGATTAATTTCAACATTTCAATCAGCACATGAACATCTGTTTTAAAGGTTGTTAAACAAAAACTGACCTAGATGCTTAAGCAGACAAATCAGTGACAGTGGAAACAATAAAAAAAATGCACAGGCTTTTATCACTCAATAATATACAGTTAGTGTTGCATCCCAACAATTGGATGACAATTCATTTACAACTATTTTTTATGATAAGGCTTCATTCGCACTGAAATCGAGCCATTTAGCCAAAATCTTTGCTCTTATTTGTCAGACCAAATATAATTGCAACAAATTTCTACAGTCACATAAATATCCTAGTACATTTATTTTTTATCCTTTTACTTCTTTCTAAATAAACGATAAAACTACAAAAAAATATTTTTTCTATTTATCCTTCAAAATCGACGCCATTGCAACAATATCTGTGCAAAAAATATATAACCTATAAAACGTAATAACTTTTGACAAGTAAATAATACGTAAGATGACAGTTAAAGAAATGAATTAAATATTAAACAAAGTGAATGAAAATAGCATTTAAATGTAACTAATATTATTCGGATTACTACGCGTATTTTATTATTTTAAACTACATACTCCCGACGTTTCGATTACTTTGCAACAACCGTGATCAGGCAGACGAGATGTGGAGACAGAATGATTTAAAAAAATAATTAAACAATGACTCCATTCATATTGATTCAACAAAACTAAATAGTAAATAAAAATCATTTCACGATCAAGTGTTCGTGAATTCTAATCTAATTAAGTGAAAAAGTTGATAGAATGTTAAAAGCGTCATAATATCAACAAAATGAAACTTCTTACAATAGAAATTGAAATATATGTATGAAATATAGAATTTATCTTCAAGTTTGTTTTTGGTTATATCACAATTATTTTATACAATTAAAGGACATTTTGAATTCTTTGTGGTTTTATTAATTATTTTTCCAATACATTCTTCCACCACTACACTATGTTTTTATATAAGCATCCCGTTTTCTATTTTATCTGTGAATGCGTTTATTACTGTAATGATTATGATTTAATAACATACAGCCAACGTTTACTACAATTAATATGAAAAGTGAATAATTAAGTAAAAAGCTTACGTGAATGTAATAGTTTTAAATGTATTCGTAAAACTATGACTAAACAAAATGTTCAAAATTCGATGATTTTGTTTTCTACATTTTTTTAATATACCCTATTTAAGAAAAAAAATACCCTGCTTTAATGAGATATGTTTTCTCAAGTATTCTTTTAAATGAAAGTAATATTTTTCGATAATACTACGCGTATTTCATTATTGCAAAACACTACATATTCCCGACGTGTTGGTTGCTTTTCAGCAACCGTGATCACGGACAGACGAGATTAGGTCTATTTTAGAATCCTAAAACGGCCTTACAATAATAATATTTGTATTAAAACAATAACTTTTCCCTTTCATCTTACATTCAATTGTCTGATCGTAAGAGTTGGACAATGATATAAACTTAGCAGGAACTTAACAATTTTAAAAATACCTCCCACAGCACAGTCACCGAACAATGAGACAATCAAAGTTACAATAATATTACATTAAATTGTAAATATTTTGCTCCTTGTGTTTTATGTATGATGTATACGCGACGAAAATGTATTAAGTATTAAATAAAACATATTTTATAATAAATAATTATATGCGTTCAGTAATAAATATTGAGGTACGACAATTTTTATTGTCAAGAAGGGTACTACGTGTCACAATAAATAATAAATTTTCAGTTTAAGGTCAGCCAATTATGAGAGGTTTCCAGTAATTTATAATACATTTAAAATTTTATAAAATATCCTATTGTTAAATTTAAATATTAAAGATATATTTTTATTAAGAAATAAATAAAAGTAGGTAGGTTTTCAGAAGCATATAAATTTTCGTTTCCTAATATAATTTTATTATATTAATTAAAATCTGTTTTCACTGTGTATATTGTTATGAATCTAATATGCTTCAAGAAGCGCTTTCAAGGTTTTGCGGGAAGAGGCATATTCACCTTCTGATTACATATATCCATATATTTTACTACCTTCATTTAAAGCTAAATAATATTGAACAAAAATATATAAAAAATAAATAGTACCGGGATAAACGTCCTGTATATTTCCTATGATTCCTTGTAGAAAATGTCAAGTAATAATTTAATTTTTAAATTATAATAAATTCACCTACCTTGTACTTCATGTTTACTGTATTTTTTTATTATTTATATCACAATCACTATAATTTATTTTTATTTATAATATTATTTTTTATTCAATATTTTCGGACGCACGTCTGTATAATCTTTTCGCGCCGTTCGTCGGTTGCCGCGCATGCGTGGTCTGCGGCCACGCTATAATGGCTGTGTTTCAGTGTCCGCGTTAGTACTTAGTTTTGTTTCCCCGCCATACCCGATACCGGTGCAACGACCCGTGCAGCGTGCCAGCTGACTTCCTCTAGTCGCGGTGCAACATGTATACGAAGTTGAAGGTAAGCCAGAGATGACTCGCAATCGGGATGCTGAAATCTTGACACAGTTTGTATAGTAAATACTATCGTAGATTTCTTCATTGTCAGTTACGAACCGGTAATTTCAAATATTGTTTGTTTAACAATATCAATTTAACGCGGAGGCAATTACTAGAGTGCATCGAATGGGATTGACTAAGGTCTAAGTGGGCATTGCGATCGATCTATAGTTAGAAATTTTTCATGTTCATAACAATATTATAAGAAAACTGACACGACGATTGTCAATATGTTGATCAATATGTGAAATTGAAATTATTCATCAGAAAAATTATGAGAATTGTATATATTTTTTAAAATATCGTGATTACCAGACTTTAATAAGAAGATTGGTACAATATTTAGATACGGATCATTATCGCTTGCGGCATCGCGATTTAAATTGAATTACATAGTAAGCAGGGATTATTGAAAGTTTTTACAGAAAACTCCGAAAACAATAGTAACATTTAATAAAAAATAACAAAAATGAAACTTAAGATTTCTGCTTGTAGACATTTAAATAATAAGTTTTTTAAATGCTACGTGTTTTCTACTATTTTATTTGTGCTTCGGCGTAACAGGCGTACCAGATCATACATATTTCAGGCGTTGTGTTAATAGAGCTTACGGTTCATTAGGAAACCAACATCGCCAAAGACCATGCCACCAAGGTCAATAAGTATTACGAGCTCACTCATGAACTCACTAGGAATAGGTTCACCGTAAATTTGAACGCGATAGAAGTGGTAGCGAGAGGTATAACAGCTAAATCTCTCTACAACCTACTAAAAGATTTGGGCCTGTCTAGAACTAACATTAATTCATCCTTCGTAGGGTGATCTCAAATTTGGTTAGGTAGTAAGAGAAGCTTGAACAGTGGATGTGAGAGTTTAACGCGTTAGATAGTGCCCCTTAAACCTACACCTGGGTCACAAGTCCCAGTCACTGTTGAAGCTCCTCTCACTACAACGATGGACCCGACACACGCACCGTGAATACATGGAATGATGAGAGGTTTCGTCTCATTGTATCTACATAATCCCGACGTATTGATACCTTTTCAGCAACCGTGATCATGAGGACGAAACGAAAGTGACGCTTCTCATGTTCGTCCAATATTTTCTTAACTGACACACGTTAATTTCTCCTCATTTGTACACACATTGTTTAGAAGAAAAGTTGAGTAATTTATATTTCAACCAATTATAACAGTATGATATTTTTAACAAATACATTTTTGGAATTTGAAGTCACGTAATGGTAGGAGTATAAATGTATAACGTATTGTTTTGTTCGTTGTTGCCCAAGCAGATTTTGAAAAAAAATCTTGCTTCTGCTTTTTTATCTCCCCATTAACAGATTTCTTTGAAGTTAGTGTTCCATACGCTTAGAAAAAAAATTATTGTAGTCAAAATAAACAGTTAAATATGTTTTAAAATATCAGTGTCGTATTTGATTTTGTAATGAAAATTTAAATCAATTCTCGATTTTTCGTGTTTACTTTTCTGTGTAAAACCCAAGTTGATGAAAGAAAAATAGTAACAGATACTTCAAAACAGTTTGAAACATTGTCATTGCTGAAATAGTGCATACGAGCAGTATTTCTCAAGAAGCTACATAAATATTTGCTTGTTTTATCGACTGAATTTATATATATGTCAGCATTACATGACGAACAGACAAACTAGAAGGGACAATAGACAGGAAATCTATACTAATATTATAAAGCTGAAGAGTTTGTTTGTTTGTTTGAAAGCGCTAATCTCCGAAACTACTGGTTCGAATTGAATAATTCTTTTTGTGTTGGATAGTCCAGTTATCGAGGAAGGCTGTAACCTATATAACATCACGCTACGACTAATAGAGGCAAAGATAAAGTGGTAAATGTGTAAAAAACGGGAGAAATTATTTCATCTTTGAAGCCTTCCGTTGCGTGCGCTGTCAAAACGGTTCAAGATACACAAAAAATATGTATTAAAGAATAATACCTCTTTTAATGATCTAAAAAACAGTCCAGGACAGTATATGTCTATCTTTTAAGATTAACTCACAAAAATCGTTTTTATGGTACCTAATTTGGTCGAAATAATTTGTTTAAGTTGTATCAACATAATAATATTAATCTTTATTCAAATAAATAAATAAATATGTTGTTGGTTAAGAGTACTTCATTGTGAATAAAAAAAACATAGGTTTTATCCTGAAAATTCTACGGGCACTCGACCATTCCGAAAACCCCACAAGAACGGGAACTATGTGGGAAGAACCAAAAATCTGCCGGAAGTCACTATTCCACGCGGACGGAGTCGCGGCAAAAGCTAGTAGAATATAATTAATGACGTATTTGTGAAATGTAATGAAAAAAACGAAAAGTATAACCGGGAATCTGATTATCTTATTCTATTGCATTTATTTAACGTTCCATATTACGATAAAAATATATGTCGCACTATCAGCACAGATAACATAGGATTGTTATCAAAATGGATGCACGCTGTCATTGTCATAACAGCGTTTAACATCGTGTTATGCGTTATACTTTGTTTATAAGTTAATTAAAACATAATTTAATATAAAATCAGTGTTGGCTATGTCCCGGGATAATTACGGTAGGAAGGGTTATTATAATCGGGAAAATCGTGACAGAGAGTGGAGTAGGAATGATTACCGCTATGAAAAACACCGGCTATCAAGGAAACGTAGCAGGACGCCGCCAAGAGATGAGAAGAGATCGGCTCGTACTCCGAGGAAAAATGAGAAAGAAATAATCGATGATAATATTCTGAGTGAGATCTCAAAGTTACCGGAAGCGAGTGAACTATGGGACAGTCACTTACAGGACGGCTTCTCAGCTCCTCAACAGCAGTCCTTTCAACAAGAAGTAAATTATATACATAGTTTATGACGTGGTTTTGCTTGACACTTATAAAAATAGCACTATATAAAAAATTTAAACGAGTGTGCTTTAAACTACATGATTGAAGTAAAACTTCTTTTGCTCGATCTATAATATGTATTATCTATAATTGCATATGTTTAAGACAGACAGACTTACATACATATATATATTTCATGCATTGACTATGAAAGAAAATGTGTGCGTACTGCTCTCTTCCTTACCTTCAGTAATATACGAACATTTTCTCATCCCTTTAATGTGATCCAAGTATCGCAGGATAGTTTTAATTGTATCTACATTTAATATCTCATCCTCTTATACAAATAACAGTTTAAATAAGTTTATAATGATTAATTTTATATACTTCATCCATTTTTTCCTTCTGAAACACAATTACCATCCATCCATCGATTCTTTCATTCATCCATACACTATCTTCACTAAATTATCTCCCTCATACTTTCATTCACCTTGCCTAATCACACTTTTTGTAACACTTTCATTAAAAGTCAGTGGTGGCATAGTGGTTTAAGGGCCCGCCTCTCGTTGCCGAAGGCACGGGTTCAAACCTGGAAGGAACCAATGTGATTTTTCGGAGTCATATGTACTTTCTGAGAGTATTTAGACACCACTGACATACGGTGAAGGAAAACATCGTGAGGAAACCTTGACTTATAGTTTCACAATTATAAGTTTGAAATCACAAACCCGTCTTGAGCAAGCATGGTGATTAATGCTCAAACCTTCTCCATGTGAGAAGAGGCCTTACAGCACTGGGCTCTGATAGGCTGTAGACGACCCTCAAGCGCATGTAAAGAAGTTTATTGACTATAATCTTTATTTCCAGGGCAATGCATATGTAGGTAACTACCAGCCGTCTTACTCTGGCTTGTATGACGACTTCCCGTCGGTGGGTGGAGTGCCGACGGCTCCCCAACCTCCGGAGATATCATCGTGGAACCAAATGTCTTTGCCGCCTCCACCTGCACCGACATTCAATGTTGAAGAACAGATTAAGAAAGAAGGTAATTCATTTTATTGTTTGTTAAATGATATGCTACACTCTTTATTTCATTTATAATGAGAGATTGCCAAGGTTTTTGTGTTGTTTTATAAAGTGTAAGCGTTCATAGGGTAATCTAAATCTAATGAAATTTTATATGAAGATTTTCCCAATTATTTTTGATTTTTTTCTTACCAAAACTATACATGTTAAAATTTACAATGAATAACTGGACAGATTTTTAGAACTCAATTTGTATATAAGACAACCTACTAGTACAAAATATGTAATGGAATTTGGTTCAACGTTTGAGACTTCAAGAGTAACTGGTTGGTAACTAGTTATTAGAACAAAACTGCTTTTTGTTAAACTACATGTCACTATATAATATATTAACACTATCCACTTTACAATTAAATCATTATATTGAGCCTCAACTTGTGAACTTCTCTTTAAGCAAAATTACTCTACACTCTTACATTTATTAATATTTTTTTGCTTCAAACTATATTGTTTCTGTTTCTACATTTGTCTCCATCCTATCTCCTGGTCCATCTAAATCTTTATTTCATTTCTCTATTCTATAATTTATTATGTATTTCTCACAATATACAAATTTGCATCCTCATGTAATGTAAATGACAGAATAATTAACAGATACACTTTACAACAATTATATAATGAACTTTCTTAATGTATTTACTCAGACAGATGTTTTTACATATTTAAACACACAAAAATCTGTTATTAAATCTGTATTAGTAGAACATATGTTTTAAATATAAGTTGACAATACATTTGTTTCTACTTGGTTTGTATATATTATGTTAATTTTTCAAAAGGTTATTCTTTTTTTTCATAAATATATAGAACTTAAGATATTAGTATTATGCCTGGTTTTTTCTTGATTTTTTTTTATTTCAGTGCATTATTCTTTACTCAGTATTGCTTAAATGTAAAAAAATTCTTTGTATATCTTAATGCCTAATGGTTTTTTTTTAGTTGTTGGGTGTGTGGCTCAGATTCAGTTTATAATGATTTATAAAGAGACTTAATTGGCGTGTTATAGGATAAGTAATGATGATACATGTGATTTATATTATTTGTTATGAGCTAAAGGTATTAAGGGTATTCTGTAGTGTACTATTAAAGTTTTATTTCAGGTGAGCTCCGTACATTGAGCCATTGGTGTGAACACCAGAATGTACCAAAGTTATATGGGACTATAAAATGATTTAGAATATGAAGTAACGGAGAATGTTAATATTATTATATAAGTCAGTATCAGTATGAATATAATAATACAATGTCGTTCCCAACAGCAGCTATTGAATCGGAAATGCGACACCAGAAAATTGCGTTGTCGAAACAAAGGGAGGATTATATAAAGAAGGCTGCGATATTGAAGAAGGAATTAGACACACTCAAGGACCAACGGAACGAACTACGTGGGGACAACAAGAGGTCACCCAGCCCGGATACTAAAAGATTCCTTAAAGAGAACACGAAGCTACAGGTTTTTATGATATGATATGATAATGATATGATATGTTGCTTTGTTGAATAAATAGCTAGATTAATTCGCTTGTATGATGTGTTTGCGTTTGTATAGTTGGAGATCCAGAACAAGCTGAAGACGATCAACAATGTTGTGGACATGCTTAATGGAATTATAGGGGAGGAGGCGGAGCTTGATACGGACACGCCCACCCAGGAGAGGGAGCGAGACAGGGAGAGGGGAGCGAAAAGGAAGTCCAGGTTGGTCTATGGTAACATTATATATACTGGCTAGTGTTGCCAGGTCAATTTGAATTATATATCTTTACCCACAATAGCTCTCGAAGAACCCAGTATCCAGAACCTGTGAATCATCAGAACACGAAGATATATTTTGTTTGAAATGTTCCAAACTCTGTTAGTTAAGTAGACGCTTATAATATGAATTGCTTTTAACTCTATACTTTTCAGTCGCTGGCTTTCATCGAAATGTCTACAGAGGAAATGCGTGGGGAAAAAGATTAGAATGATTTTATTCGATAATATCTTGTACATTTGTTATGTACTATTTTAATATTAAAGATAATGGAGAAAAATATATTTGTATTATTTGTATCCTATATATTAATATGTCATGAGTAGTGTATATTACTGTGCGTGTGTGTAATGTATGTGTGTGTGTCAGGTCTCCGTCAAACAAGAAGTTCAACTACGTGTACTATGACCCGGAAATGCACTGGTGTCGTGTGTGCAATGAGTTCCCGCCCACGGCAAAGGACTACCTCAATCATCTACACTCGCCGGCACATCACAAGTATGTATATTATAAGATATAAATAATTAGCATTCCTCAAATTACATATCCTCAAAAATAGTGCAAATCCGCATAACTACTATTAGATAATTCCGCGTATCTATATTCGAAGCAGATTATCAGAAGAAAGTTTGAGCTGAAATGTTTTATATTAACGATTTTTAAGGTAATTTTTTTCATAATTAAACATTAGATAATTACTAATTGTGAAAAAATACTCAAAAGTCGTTAATATAGAAAATATTTCAGCTCAATCTTCTGATAATCTGCTTCTAATGTAGCTACGGGGAATTATTCAATGCTAGTTACACGGATTTGCACTATCCATGACTATACTACATCTTTTAGCTATTGGCCATCAGCTATTGGCTATATTCAGCTATCTTATGTGTGTTGTATGTCTCAGGATGGCAGCGGCCCACATGGAGGCGCCATGGCATTCAGTGACGGGCGCCAACGAGGGGTTCCCTAGCTACCCCTCCGCACCTACTAAGAGAACACCTATAAGAGGTAGCTAATATATAAAATACAAGTTATATATCAAGTAGTAGTAACTCAACTGGTTTTATTTTATTTGAGACTACTGTATTATAAAAATAAAAACACTGTAATATAAAAACAAAAATAACAAAAAACATAAATCAATAAAGTTTCCACTTAAAGCCAATACACAAAAAATTTAATTAAAAAATTATGGTCTCAAACTCAAACTTCCATCAAAGGTTGACTTAGCAACCAATAGGCGAAATAAGAGCTATATACCTCACGTTTCGTGTTAAAGGTCTCCAGTTCTTCGTTCCGTCGAGCGCGTGGTACTGCAAGTTGTGCGACGTATTCATCGGCGACCTGCACTGCGCATCCGCTCACCTCAAGTGTGTGCAACATTCCAAGAACTACACGGTCAGTATACACACACACACACACACACGCACACACACACCAGTAGTATAGTCCGTTAGACTTAAGCTGAGCTTTGCATTTGTGTGAAAGTGAAAGTAGCCTTAGACAAAAAAAATAGAATTAAATTTTATTATACTTTAAATAGATACATAACATAAGTGCTATAAAATAAGCAAAACTTGTTAAAGATCAGATGGAAATATTATGAAAAACAAAATATTGACTAATAAAAATTTTGAAAAAAATATACAAAATCTTATTCACTTGACATTGCGTTTTCAACATTTGATTTTGCTACCAGTACAAAAGGTGAAGTGAGGATGGTGCGGGGCGGAGTATAAGCAGTATAAAGCAGTATTAAACTAGAAAAGAATGTGGCATTCAAAAATTTGACATCACATCCACACTATCCGTGTACACTCACACAAATACAAAGCTCAGCTTAAATCAAACGCACTATACCAACTATCTAATCCTGTTTCAGAATTTCGTGGAACAAAATCCTCACTGGGAAACCGATTGGATGTCTGACAGACAGAAAGCTCTAGAAAAGGCTCGGGCTGGGAGTAAAATAAAAATGGAGGACAAACCAGCATACACCGCGCATACAATCACCTTCAACAAGGACGGGTTCCACACTAAGAGGAAGACGGACAGCCCGGACAAGAAGAAGAAGAACAAAAAGAACAAGAAGAATAAAAATAAGAAGAAGAAGACCAGTAGCAGTAGTAGTTCCGACAGCAGTTCCAGCGAAGACAGCGAACATACCAAGAAGAAAAGTCTGTATACATATGATGTTATAATTTCATTTATTTACACTGGTCAACAAATTTGTAATTTTCTTTTGTCACATGAAAGTTTATATCAAATTTTGAATATATCAGGGCCACCAAACAATAATATATCAATGAAAAAAATTGTACACAACAGGTTTTCTTGTGACATCAAAACATATATTTTCAGGAAAAGTACGAAAATCAGCCACATTTTCAGAATTATTTTCTAATATCAACTAGATACTCATGATTTTATTGAATACTAGCTTTCCGCCCGCAGCTTCGCCGCGTGGAGTTCGGTTATATCGCGTTTCCAAGAGAACCTTTCAAAAGTCTGGGATAAAAACTATCCTATGTTCTTTCTCAAGGTCAACTCTATCTCTGTACCGAATTTCATTAAAATCAGTTCAGTGGTTTAGGCGTGAAAGCGTAGCAGACAGACAGACAGACAGACAGACAGACAGAGTTACTTTCGCATTTATAATATTAGTAGGGATTATTATCGTGTGTGCGTATTTGTGTGTACCCAATAGTCAGGTGCCATCTTTGTGGCGAGGAGGAATTACGCTGGTTTTTTAGTGGGTGCTTAAACCTAGGAGTCCCACATAATCACAACTGCCTACTGGTAGAAGTGGTATGCGAAACGCATTTTTCCAGCGTTAACAAAAAAAAAGGGTCTAAATATCAGTGCTGTGCATTAGCATAGCTTATACTGAAATAAACCTTTGCTCCTACACTGTATTCGTTAAATTTAATTATTTTCTTCTGTATAATCTATGTAATGTATGTGTGTAGCAAAATAAATGGTTTTAAATGATATTAATATAGTGTTACTATGTATACAGGTAAGAAATCAAAGAACAAGTTCGAGGAGGCGAAGCTGACCGAGTGGATGTCATCCATACAGATGGATAGGCTCAACGACAACGACAGGAAACTGTTGGACAACATTAAGAACAGGTGAGAGGGTACACACACACACACACAAACAAAATAAATGGATCACATCACTCCACCCGATACTTTTGCGGTTATTCACAATATTAAATTCAAAACATTATGTGGATCTATTCACTTATACTCATAACATTCAATAATCACTCACTTCGTTGAAATAATTATTATATTAGTATAATTTATCATTTAAACAATGATTCAGAAGATCTTGGTGTGAGCAAAATATATGACTATTTTGATGTAATTATTGTAGGATCAAGATGGACAAAGAGGACCGGCGGGAGAAGAGGGACCAACGAGAACCGGTCAGGCAGTACCGGTGAGTTAAAATAATATACTACCTTCATACATATACTAGCTCCGCCCCGCGGTATTACCCGCGGATTTCTGGGTTGTAAAGGAGCCTATGTGTTATTCCCGGACATCAGCTTCCTGTATACAAAATTTTATCAAAATCGGTTCAGCCGTTTGAGCGTGAAGAAGTAACAAACATACACACTCACAAACTCTCGCAATTATAATATTAGTAGGATATCTAGCCGAAACTTTGTGACCACTTTTTGTCACCAAAAAAATATTCACCAACTAACCTAACTAGATAATAATTAAGATGTGAAAAAGTGCTCATTTTTATAATTATATATTGGGTTTATTTTCTTGATAAACAGACTACTAGTTTTTTTAGCATCCTGAAACACCTAATCATTTCATTTCATAGAGTTATATTCCTAGTTAGTTAGTTTTCTATATTATTTGACAGTGACGAGCGTCGCGAATCCCGGTCGAGAGATGAAAGAGATCGGAGAGATGACAGACGGAGAGATGAGCGGAGAGAAGAGAGGCACGAGCGGAGAGATGACGGGAGGGAGGAGAGACATGAACGGAGAGATGACGGGAGGGAGGAGAGACACGAACGGAGAGATGACGGGAGGGAGGAGAGACACGAACGGAGAGATGACGGGAGGGAGGAGAGGACGGACGCGAAGAAAACAGACATTAGGAAGATGATGCCATTCATTGGTAGGGTGTGGTTGATATAAGAAAGAATAAGGGACGGAGTAGTATAAGGTTGAATTTTGACTGAATAAATTAATTACTGGGATGTACCCAGTGTCTTGTAATATTTAGCATCAGACGGTTTCCAGGGAAAGACTATTAGTTGTATGGATACAATCATTTAAAGAAACTATATAATAATAATGTTTATTTATCCCAAACACATTAAAATTGTATAGACATTAACAGTGGCGGCTGGTGGGTTATCGAACTGGTGGTTCACTTTACTAAAATATTGACAAAAACAACAATTGACATAAAATATGTTTATTTTTTTGTACAATAAATCAATGCGACGACATTTTTCTGTAGCGAAATGTTCTATCACCTTTTTATTAAAATCTGGTATTTTTTCTATAAGTTTCTTTTCAATACTAAGCACAGAAAGTGCATTTAGCCGATCCTGAGACATGGTATTTCTGAGAAAAGTTTTGATTCTTTTCAGTGTCGAAAAACAAAAGAATGCATTAAGACGCTCACATCCACACAACCATTTCTTTCTATTATACATTTCACTTTTAAAACTTCGTATAAATGCTTTATTTTTCGATTTACACTCTTGTTTTAAATTTAAAAAGGGCCGTGGCGGCCCGGCCAATTTTATGTTTACTTTACTTTGAAAAATTTTGTTATTTTCTTTAATATAATCAATATTTATACTCATTTTCAACTAATAAAATACACAGTACAGAATAAAAGTTCTATTATAGAAACGAAATAAAAAACTAAAACGAATTACGGAAATAATTATAAACAATAACGAATTAACGCGTCACGCATACAGTGAAAGTTGAAACAATACCAATAACGATTAACGAAATGTCAATCATAGCACCCATCCTTTCGGCCGGCCCCTTGCCGGCCGGCTCAATACGTCATACATCGGGTGCTCTCGGTAACCTTCGGCCGCTTCGTGCGGCGCTCGAGAACCGACTCGTTACTCGGTACATTTCTATGAACTATCTTTTGTCTCACGCGCCAGGCGTATTAATGCGTGTCTCATACAAGATGTATTAGCAGTCCTCGTGCACTCGCCGGAGCGCACGATATGAGTTTAGTAAAGCGCTCAAACTTTTTGACCGTAATTGGAAATTAAATTTTTTATACCTTTTTGTATGTTTAAAAAATAAATATTAAAATGGTAATTTAAAAATTAAGATGACATAATATTTTGTAATTTTTAAACATTTTGAATTGGTGGTTCAGCGCACGGGCGCACTTAAGGTACAGCCGCCACTGGACATTAACATAATATGATCACAATGCATAAAGGTAAATGGTATTATATGTAAATGAAGTCTACTGTCCCTGAGCTAGGTATAAACCTCTATTTCATACCATAACCATATGTAACGTTCATATTCAATGAAATTAAGAAATGATTAGAAAAATAATTGTGGAGATATTTAAATATTAAGGGAATTGTTGCTACAGGAAAGATGCCGGTGTACAAAAATCTAACGAAGACGTCGAAAACAGAAGAACCGAAGAAGGAAGAGAAGAAGAAAGAAGAAGACGAAGCGACCAAGAAGAGAAGAGTGGAGATGGACGCTGAGATACAGAAGAAGGTAGGAAAGATGATCTTTATATATATAATTCTTCTGTGAGTGTGTATGTCACTGAACTTCTCTCAAACGACTGGACCGATTTTGATGAAATTTTTTGTGTGTGTTCAAGGGGATCTGGGAATGGTTTAGATACATTATATTTGACAACTAACTAATATGTCAATCATTCTGTCGCACTTCAAAACACGGAGATTTATGGCTTTAATAGGTAAAGTCCAAAAATATAAATAAAAAAACATAACAGATATTTCTTGATTATAGGGCGATACGAAGTTCGCCGGGTCTTCTAGTATTATAATAAAAAAATAAGTTCAATCAATATAATAATAATAATAATAATAATTATGTAAGTGAAGTTAATAGTAACAAATGTTTGACGCAGGTGGCGGAGTTCAAAGAGAAAATCGCGAAGGCCCAACTAGAGAGACAGCAAGCGGAGCAGATGCCCACACTACTGGGAGCTATGCCTGGGACTCTGGCCGGGGCGATGAACCCGGCCATGGCACACGCCTTCCTACCGCCGCCACCGTGAGAAAAAACACAACTTCAAGAATATAACACACGACTTCACGAACATAACACACGACTTATACTAAAATCATTCTCTATACAGGGCTCCAGCGGCGCCGGCTCATCTACCCAAGGACTTTCAAGACGCTCTGGATATTATTTTCCCATCAGAAGTGAAGGGCGACGGCCAGGCAGATATGTACCAGGCTGTGCCAGGCCTAGCGCCGCCCGGGGCCTTCCCGGGCCTAATGGGAGGCATGATGGCCCCCTTCCAACAGTTAGGCCTCCTCGCTCAGCCGCCAGTCGTCATGGGCTTTGATGTTAACGCGGGCCTGTTCCAACAACAGGTGTATGACGCTCACGTCAACAACACAAACACCACCAACAACACAAACAACACACAGCCTCAAACCGGAGAAGTGATGGAGAAGAAGGATCCGACTTCAAGGAATAAGGAAGAACTGGATGAACTAGCGCTGCTCGGGATAGACGCTAGTGATGTGGGGGCTGGCATATAGACGAAACATATATATAGAGTTTAAGATTTTTCATTATAAAGTCGCCATCCGTGCTTCCATGTAAGTCAGGATTAGCGATGTTAGGAAATAAATATAAAATTGACCATTGTACATCACCCGAAGGAGCTCCTTACATGGAACTGTAATGAAATAATGTTTATAGTTGGTGTATGAATTAATTGATTTGGTGAATAAAATATTTTAAATATGTCATGTCATGTATATGTCATTTGATGATCAATACATTACTATTATTATACAATAGTAATTTAATATATTATTACTGACTAGCTTTCCGCCCGCAGCTTAACCCGCGTGGAGTTCGGTTATATGGTGTTTCCAAGAGAACTTTTCAAAAGTCTGGGATAAAACCTATCCTGTTCTTTCTCAAGGTCAACTCTATCTCTGTACCAAATTTTATTAAAATCAGTTCAGTGGTTTAGACGTGAAAGTGTAACAGACAGACAGACAGTTACTTTCGCTTTTATAATATTAGTAGGGATTGTGAGTTAATAGTTAGAACAATATGAAAAGACAAAACCTCTCAGAATTTAATGTATTCACGGTGCGTGTATCGGGTCCATCGCTGTAGTGAGAGGAGATTCAACAGTGACTGTGACTTGTGACCCAGGTGTAGGTTTAAGGGTTCCTATCTAACACGCGTTAAACGCTCACCTCCACCGTCCAAGCTCCTCTCTACATAAAGAAATAAATAATAGTACGTATTATTTCACGTTCATATTAGGTGAATGGATGTTTAAACAGGAGATAGGACAGAGTTTAGTAAGGATTGAAGATATTGAGTGTTAAGCTTGGTTTAATCATTATTCAAAAGATATTTTGAGTTATATATGAGACCGGGTGAGGCTTACGACCAAAAGGTAAATGACTATAAATATACCATTCAAAGCAAGAAATTACCATCTGTACTAAATATATTTTGAATTCGTATAAATTCCCTTTATTTTCACAAATAATAAATTTTTTTTTTCATTTTATATAATGTGAAACATTCGATAGTCGATTTTGTTTTACGTACTATCTATCGCATGTCGCATTACAGCCTACAGAACTTTTGCAAGTAGTGCGCTCTACGGATCTTGTCTAGTGACAGCCGGCCAGGGTACGTTTATAATTTATATTCACACTGATTCATTGTAAGTGCCTCGTATTTATTCGGTGATTTGAATGAAGATTTTAATAAATACACATCTATTATGAGTTCCGTACCTTATTACGACAATTTTTAATTAAAGGTATAGTTGGTTTTTTTTTGCCGACAGTTGGTATTTATTATACAAATATTAAATCTTTGAATTATATTTACATGAAGAAAATGATTTTAAATACTTAGTCTATAAAAGTATAAATCCTTCACTTGTATCCTGGTTATATTCAAATTAAATTAACATGTTATATCTTGTAGTTCTTGAATTAAAACTTCTTATGTTGCTTCCAACCAGGTTACGTTTGACACTTCTGGGGGCGATAAAAAGATATAGCGAGATTGCGCGGTTTTCGAACGCATGCGGGTAAACAATTGTGACTTGTTAATAATTATAATAAAATTTCTCTTAAAGAAACTTACAAAATTACTTGAAAATCATTTCTACCACTTCCTGATTTCATTCCAACATTACGAAGTTTCATTTATTCCTTATGGAGGGATAAATTTTTACCTATTTCTGGAATAATAAACTGCCGTAGTAACAAAAACATACTAATTGTCTCATATATACAAAGTAAGATTCATAAACATTACGCCAAGTTTGATAAACAGAAACACGATGAATTTTATAAGTTCTATATACGACATGGTGTTTGGATAATGTGAAAAGGATTAAGAATAGTTAAATAAAAGTCAACTAATGATGCAAATGACGGAAGAAGTAGATTTATCAGGGTTCATGACTTTACGACCCTCCAGTACAAATACATACAACTGGATTAAGTGCTTATAATATTTTAGATCAACACAAAACATGTTATTTTAAAATAAAATAAGAATAAATATTGTCGAATAAAATAGCAGTGATTGGATTAAAATATATAAACAAGATTTAATTAGCTGAAAATAAAAGAAAAATGCCATTGGATATGCTGGGACTGGAAGTTCTAATTGTTAAAAATATACCTAATAAATATTTATTCACCGTGGATAGTTCAGTTCTACGTTTATAAAATTTTATTATACCGCTTTTTTGTATATCATAAATTCCCTTATTCGAAACCAAAGCTGATACTTTTCATCTTGAATTACTATAGAAATTTTAAATTGTATTGGAGTTTTCAAACAGAAAAATAGTTTTTGACAAAAAGAGGAGCATTTCTTCGGTCTGAATCGAAGACACGCTTACATAATTATATATTAGTAAGTTTTATTGTCCCCTTTATGACTGAACTACTATACAGGGTGACTGGTGAATTACTATCGATACTTGAGGACGTGATATTTGACGATCATATATGACAAAATAAAAATTAATATAACATAAATATTAATAAACTTCTAAGTAAAGTTAACCAAAAGTTATGTAATTAATTACGCATCGTGTGAACACCCTACAGATTAGGTATACACACACACACACACACACATACGCGTGCGGCGGCGTGGTGTTGTATCAGCACGCCGCCGCACGCGTCCACACTTGGAACACTTGGAACGTGTCAACACTTTGTTTATTTATACGGAAATTTTGTCAAAAATTAAGTGCCTATTTTTTTTACATAATTCGAATGAGAATCATGTACCGAGTACACCTAAGTCTGTTTTTACACGGTAGATTGCTTCCAGAAGAAGCCGTGTAAAAAAAAAACCGTGTAAAAAAAGACATTGATCTTATACAAAAATGGGTGATTTGTTCCTAATCTCTAAAACCTATAAAAATTAGTGAAAAACAAGAATTTTTAAGAACAAGAATTCATGTTTATTTTATTAAATCAAATATATAATGCTTATTTCACAAGCATAGTAATTAATGATAAAAAAGATATGCACTCTAATCTTAAAAGTAATATACATATGCACATAAAGGGAATTCCCCTAAATTAGTTTGTACGCGCTAAAGGGGAATTCACTTAAATCTTTAAGCTAGTGTTCGCAAACTATCGATACTATCGATGGTTTCGGACTTTTTTCTTTCATAAATACTTTTTTGTGATATGAACATACTTCGCAAAAATTAAATTTGACAAAAAAAAATTAAGTACATAAAATTTCAAATCGTGCTAAATGGAATAAAATCATGTAAAAAAATTAAAAATATTCAATTTTCAAACCGTGTTATATCAAAACCGTGTACAAAAAGACCGTGTAAAAACAGACTTAGGTGTATTCTCCTTAAATATTGATAGTAATTCACCAATCACCCTGTATAAAAGTAATAGTCGGTTAAAAAATTATTACCACTGAATTACTTGAAAATCTAACTTATTCAGAATGTACGTTTCATTAAATGTAAATTTATGCTTATCAATTTTAATTATGGATAGCATTTGGTTAAAAGATATTCACAATAAGTTTGAGTTCAAACTAATTAATTATCAATATAGGAGAAACTATTTTTTTGGGTAATGTTGTTACGATGTCGTTTACTTTTTATATTTAACCTGTCTCTGATATATCTCCAGGTCACGTTTAGGGCCAATTTGTTTATATTTCTAGCGATAAAGAGACGAACCAGAACAACTCACGTTAAACCGGTCCGCGAGTTGATATAAAATGATTTATTACACATTAATAACTAATTCAATTGCTTATACATATTATAATCAGTTACTTTGAATTCTGCTGCATAAAAAAATGATTAACAAATCACACTATTTCCATTTTACATTTGAAATAATTCGGATAAACAGTTTTGTAAAGACGAATAATATTTTAGAAATTAACATATATTTAAATAGAGGAATGCTAGTAATACATGATTAATGATTTGCCGGCGACTGGAACAGGAATGTGTTTGAGATTTCACCACGAGTGAGTTCAATTCGCCGAGCCTCGAACTTGTCCTTGAAAAGATATAACAGTATTACATCACACTCGAACAACACGAGACTATAGTTTAAACACTTGCCACATAAAAATGATAATTTTCATAGTGTTTTTAATACTATAGAACATATAAATATTATGTATTTTCTTAGGCTGTGTATATTTTTCATCGTAAACAAAGTCTCGTAATGCGTGTCGTTATTTCGTCATTATTATGATGTTATTACAATATGTGTGTGACAGACGTCAGTCTGCGATAGTCGGCCGGATAGCCGGCAGTTTGAGCAAGACATTCCTAACATGTAAGTTTCAGTACGAGTTTAAAATTTTGTTTTATTATAATCAGAGGTTTTTATAATAAGTGATAATCATGTACATTGGGAAAATCTGAATACAATCAAAATTTATTAATATTGAGTATAATATAAGGCTCTTTCGGTAGCTTTAAATTCAGACTCAGAATGTAAGTTACGCCTATTGTTTAAATGGTAACCAAAGTAAGAAAAGTTTATTTTGTAATAATAAACGAAGTTAAGAATTATATTATTATTTACACATTTTAATCTTTAATTCATAATCTCATAACGATCACCAGAACTACAATCTTTGTCTCTACAACTTATCATATTATATGCAAACTAGATAATAATTTCTGAAAACAAATAGTGCTAGGATTTCTTTCCTTTCTTACATTTTGTTACAAGGTCATCGAAACAGTATCCTTTTAGAAGCCACATCAACTATCCCAAAGAAAAAATTATAGAAAAATAGATGTGAAAATATATTAATGCCTCTTAATATTATTTTGCAATGTCATGATAAATAGACAGTTTCCATATATTAATTCAAACACCTCAGATGATCGTGAACTGGTAGTCTGATTGTTTTGAGGAGCCATAACGGTAACGTATTTTAAACGTTATATATCTATACGATCAAACTTGTAGTTAAGTTGACGATGAGAACTCATGGTAAGGAATTAAGGATACATTAGATACTTTATAGATATACTAGCTTTCCGCCCGCAGCTTCGGCCGGGTGGAGTTCGGTTATATCGCGTTTCCAAGAGAACTTTTCAAAAGTCTGGGATAAAAATTATCTTATATTCTTTCTCAAGGTCAACTGTACCTCCGTTATAAATTTTATTGAAATCAGTTCAGTTGTTTTGGCGTGAAAGCGTAACAGACACAAACAGACAGAGTTACTTGCGCATTTTTAATATTAGTAGGGATTAAAATGAATGAAGTGATCGTCGTTTCTCAAATACAGATCTAGTGTTATAAGAGTGATCCTATCACAAGTGAATTCATTATCTTTACTATAACTGACTCTCGCTAAAACAACGTTTAAGATAGCGTTATCTAATTTATAATTAATATTAAATCTATGCTAATACCTCGGTGTTGACTGTCTCGTAAATTTATTAAATCAATAATAATATTATTTTTATTTGAATCATGGGAATTATAGACGTCTTGATTTGATTTTTTACATATTAGTATATAATATATAAAGAAAGTTGTGTTATTAACGCTATTTATAATGTATAACGGCTGTAGGGATATGGTTGAAAATTGGTGAAGAGATAGCTTAAAACCAGGAGACGGACATAAGATACTTAATGCTATTCGATTGAAAAAAAATACTAAATAAATTCCTATAACTAGTTATTTATGGCCTCTAGGCCGGAAAAATTTCGCCCGGTCAGCTATACATATTATATTACTAATAACGAAATTAACGCGGACGAAGACGCGAGCAAAAACTAGTGCTCTATAAAAATTCTAGACGCATAAAAGCGAGTGTATATCCTGTAGCGTATGTTATGGTTTGTTTGTCGGGACTTCCCCGTTTGAAGACGTTTTGTTGTTACACCCACCCATGTTTCTGTGAATCGTTTTATTAAAATAATATACTACTACATATATACATACACACATAAGCTCTACAAGAATTGTATTGTTACCGTTATTAAGGAGAAGCCCGTTTTTTAATAAATATTATAAGTTATTTTTATATGTCTATATTATTACCATTCGTCCACATTGGAATAATTTCGGTTAACTATTTACAATGTTAGACCATTGTTTACAAATGTCATGTCACACATGAAATTAAAAACCGGATGTTTACTGATACTGAATAAGCCTGTAAAATGTATACCTTGTCACTTATGTCTATAATTTTTCAATTGTAATCCTTAAGGTTAATCCGAAGGTTAATACTTTTCGATCTACAATTTGTAGGAAGTAGCGAAATTAAATTTTACAATTAGGAAAAGGGGGATATTTATATTATGAACATGTATTTATAACTAAGTTTATGACGCCTTTTAATTAATATAGAAATAGATTTAATTTTTTTACACCCAGTTTCACGAAAAAATGATAAATAAATAACGCTTGTTAAGGCGTTTTATGGTTTGCTAGATGAATCGAGCGTCCCACTACGGTAACGTCTTAGTAAATTAAGTTAACTGATCGTAAAAATGTCTTATTATTTATGTAAAGTAACTGTAAAATACATAAGTGGAACCAAAAACAAGAATAAAATGTTAATTCAAAACAAAATATGCATGATCCTATCGTTAATAAAGATATCTTTCGCAGTGAACCATGTCTTCTGATAAAGTGTTCCACTCGCGGTCCCAGGGCATTCCGTCCGAGGGTGTGAAGGATCAGTATGCTGATGGGAAAGCAGCCAGAGTGTGGAAGAAATACATCGGAGACAGCAACCAAAGGACAAAGAACTACCGGGACTTCTTGACCGGTCTACTCAGGAAACATGGCTGTAAAACCGTGTTGGATGTGGCTTGTGGTACCGGGTATGATATACATAACAGATGTTTTTCCTTTATGCTGGCCATACACGCTACGGTCTACTGGAAAAGACCACCTGTGCAGGTAGACCGGAATGTGTGCGAATAGACCTGTGTAGTTTTTTGGACTTACGCAGGCGACCGGCGCAAAATCGATTCTTTCGGGTGACACCGTATCTGCACAAATTACCTCTCCGCTAGATCGTAGCGTGTATGGCCGGCATTATATGGAGATTTGTATCAAAGTCATAAGTTATAATTCTTATGTAAACAAAATGGTCTGAAGACAAAAATCGACTTATAGGGACTTGGGACCATATACATATATGTATATCAAATACATATAATAATTAAGACAAGAAGATATTTTTAAATAATACTATGTAAAAAGTACGGTCAGTACACGATTACATGCAAGTTCAAACCCGGAAACATATTACTTTTAATAAGAATAATCTACTGGACCTACAATGCTTTTTTAAAACACAAATATGACGAGATTTAAGACTTAAGTATTCATTGAAATGAAACTAATATTTTCGAATTACTACGCGTATTTTATTATCACGGGCAGACGAAATGTCTGCCGTGATCACGGTTGCTTCAAAAACCGAAACGTCGAGAATATGTAGTTTTTAAGTAATAAAATACGAGTAGTAATCTGAAAATATTAGTTTCATTTACACAAACATGTTGTTCAGATGAAAAATCTTTAAGAGAATATACAGAAATGTTTTGCAGATAAAACATCTTTATACAAAACCAAGAAAATCTATTCAATATTAATAATACATATCGTGATATCACAAGTATATGACGTAACTGATAGGTTATTTTTGTAACGTATATTTTTATGGATTGTTTAAGTTCAACTTTTACCTTATCAGTTAATTCCGTAACTGATAATATATACAGTTTATATTAAGATTCAACACTCGTTCGTGTTCATGAGTGAAAAGAAATTTATTAAATAATACGCATTAAAAAGTTAACTTTTATTTCTTCTAAGTGTCACAACTTTAAAATTATAGAATATTTTTTAATAATTAAAATAAAATGTAATTATATTTATATGTTTTTTATATACATATTAAACTTAGTTTTTAATATATTCAACTTATTTCGTTTCTCACAAGAGTATATTTTTGATAGTTATATTTAAATTATTTGATATTTCACTAAAAATAGCAGTATGTTTAGCACAAGTTTTGCATCGTTATACTACATACGACGCGTTTGCCGTTTTTTACCTTAATACTATAATGTAGGAACTAGGAAGATTAATGAATGAAAACTGTTAACGCTGCGTTGTTGGGAAAATGCAATCTTCCTTTAACCATACTTGACCTTACTGTGTGTTAAAAATTATAATGATAGCAACGATTTATAAATAAGAAGCATTGACAATAACTTTAAGGTTTAATTTTTTGATGTGTTGTAGCGTGTTGTATAAACATGATTTGTATTTAAATAAAGCTTTAAAGATTCAGTAAATCTATTTCTGTAGATATTAACAGTAATATGTTTCCGTGTTTAAACTTGCATGTAACTTTGCTATGGAGACCGCACTTTTTACATTACATAGGTATATATGTATGTATCTTATGTAGCCATAAGAAACAAGAATTAAATCAAGTACTTATATAATAAATTATATTATTAATTACGAATAAACAATTAAGATGTATTCCCAAAGCAGGTTGATGTCAGGCAGGCGGCCGGTTGTACAAAAAAAGGCAAAACTATTCACAACACGCGAGGCAGACCCTGGCTATAGCTGGGAAATTGCCAGGTAGAAGAAGAAACAATCAAGATGTATTGTTTATGATGTTCTAGGATCGACTCCATGATGTTGTTGGACGATGGCTTCAAGGTAGTGTCGGTGGACGCTTCCGACAAGATGTTGAAACACGCGCTCAAGGCTCGCTGGGAGAGACGGAGGGAGCAGAGATACGACGAGTGGGGTACGACATATAAACAAACATTTTTTTATTTTTTTCATTTATTGGTAATCTAACAGCGTTACAGTAATTTAAGAATAGTAACAATATAGCTATAAACAAGGCCAATTTAGGATTACACAAATTTTCATTTATACAGTTACACTCGAGCATACAATTAAGGATAAAAAGAAAAGAGAAAAAAAGCAATGCAAATGGTGTTAAATACAACAGTGTGTGTGTGTGTATGTGTGTGTGCGTGTGTGTGTGTGTGTGTAACATTAACAACGATATATTAACAACGATCAGGTTAACTTAGTTATGATGAGTTTGGTTGTTTTAAATGTTGCCTTCATTCGTCTAAGACGTGCAAAGTATTCTGTCAGTGTGTAGAATGGAGATACGATCCGGTATTAACTTAACGATTTCGACTGAAGTCACAATTAGAAACTTTGTTAACAGATCCAAAATAACACATATTCAATAAGATGTACATAGGAGATATATTCTGTATAAATTAAAACCAGTACATATGCTTTATGCCACTATACTGAAGTAAAACTTCTTTTGCTCCATCTATATGTAATATGTATTCGCATATATTTCAGTAAAACACGAACTATAACACTATATTCATCTTCACTAACTTAAATCTCCCTCTCACTTCCGTTCGCCTCTCCCGATCACACTTTTCGTAACGCATTCACCAGCTTACTCTCTATTAAGCGTGGTTTAAGAAGTTTTACTTCGAAATTGTTAACTAGACTATGTATTTATGTGACTTATTTCATATTACAGTAATCGAAGAAGCCAACTGGCAGACATTGCCACAAGACATCGAACAGTTCATGCCGGGAGTACAGTTCGATGCTGTAATATGTTTAGGGAACTCGTTCGCGCATTTATTAGACGAGTACGAGGATCAGAGGACACAGAAGATGTGTTTGAGGAACTTCGCACAAGTATTAAAACCCGGCGGCCTGTTGTTTATAGATCACAGGAACTACGACTCAATGATCAACAGAGGCGCTACTCCCGGACACTCTATATACTATAACGTGAGCTAATAGTTACGTAAATGAAACTAATATTCTCGGATTTACTACGCGATTTTTTTATTTTTGATTATAAACTAAAAACTCCCGACGTTTCGATTACTTTACAGTAACCGTGATCACGGGCAGACGGCATGTCGTCTAGTCGGGAGTATGTAGTCTTCTTATACCTGGCAATTTTCCCAGCTTTAGCCAAGGTCTGCCTTACATGTTGTGAATAGTTTTGGCTAATTGTTTTTACGACCGGCCATCTGCCTGACATCAACCCTCTTTGGGTAGTTTATAGTCAAAAATAAAAAATCGCATAGTAAATCCGAAAATATTAGTTTCATTTAAATGAGTAAGTACTCACGAAAATCATAGATCTCATTGATAGTGATGTGCCGTAGAAATAAAAACCGGTGAAAGTTAGAATTAAATTCGATTCGGTTTTCTTAGTAATGATGAATAGTGTTATTTATTCGTAAGTGAAGTCGTTATTGATAAGGCAATATAAAAATTAAAATGTTTCTCACTTACTTATCTTATTTTATCAACAAACTATTGACAAAACAAGTGTCAGTTGTTTCTATCTAAACTTATTATTTAATAATATTTGTGTAAGCGATAACCTTAGATCTTTCACGTCACTACGATGAACAGATTGTTCGTTTAAATTTATGGTTCAGTAACTATTTAAATATTGATACAACAAAAATTTTTGACTTTTTAACTGAATCACGTACTCTCTTTACACGCGAATTCGCTTATTTCACACTCATCATCCTTTGTGCGTCTGTACGATATTTTACTTATTCAATTAGTCACTTAAATTGAAACCCTTTGTTCATTAAAAGTTCCTTAAATTAAGTAGAATTCAAATTTAATTTAATCTTCTAAAAAGTTTTCATATCATTTTTATGTTTATTCAGTGTAAATACCCAGTGGACATTAAAACCTCAGTGCTTGTGGTTCGCGGGAAACCCGAACTGGTCGCCTTGGACTACTGCATAGACGCTACGGACGAGGATCCGAACGCAGAGAGAAGGTTAGCATAAACTCAATAAAACACTAAATATACAATAATAAGAAACATATTATATATAATGCTGATTATTTGACAAGTATAGAGTATGTGGCTTATTAATTAAGAAATCGATGATGGTAGATGATAAATAACAAGACCGACTGACAGACATTCATATTTAATCTGCCCGTGATTACGATTGCTGAAAAGTAACCGAAACGTCGGGAGTATGTAGTTTTTTAAAATAATAAAATACGCGTAGAATAATCAGAAAACCATTAATTTCATTTAATTATTAAACTTATTTTAAGAATATTGGAACGCGAAAATCAAGACGCAAATTCGACTCCTGAATCAATGATTTTTTTTATGTACAGCGTCTATATCAATATTGATTCACTGCAACATTTCATTATCTTCTTAAAGTATGTAATTATATATTTAATAGATGTTTTTTGTTATATTTGTAGTGAATTCCGCCTGTGTTACTATCCTCACGGCCTGGACGCCTTCACGCGAATGTTAGACGCGGCCTTCGACGGTCGCGCACAACACAACATATACGCCGACTTCCAGCCACTCGACAAGGTGCCCGAGCCCGCCTACTACATACATGTAATGCAGAAAAAATAACAAATATATATGTAGCTACATATACATACCGTAGATTATAGCTAATATGTCATATCTTATGTCAAAGGTAAAATATAACTTCTGTCACTTCTTACGTCAGACATGCACTACACTTAAAACGCAACACAGATAACTAATATGAATGATATGTCTGATGTATCTCTGGATTTACATTACAAATGTACTAGTGACTTTAAGACAAAAATAGATATTGCTTAAAGACATAAATACACTTTTTGTATGCATAACTGTCAATAATACTTTATCAAACAAATTTAGGTTTTTACTCAGAGAGATCAGAGAATTGTGTGGCTACAGTTATACTGCATGATAGTTATAAACTCCATATATAATTAATTACAAATGATTAGTCCTTATTATTTAGACTCAAAGTCATTCCTCGAAATGTTAAACATTTTATAGGATTTTTTTACTAATAAAATGACTTAATAGTTACGATTAAATCGGATAATTTTGATGCTCTTAATTTTATTTATTAATTACAATATTTGTATGAATTTTACAATGTTATATATGTATACCTTTTAATTGTTAATGTTTGTGCTCAATGTTATAAACCAAATAAAATTTCAATCCATTACCCAGTTTACATTTATTTATTGAATATCATATAATATTTCAATTAATATATGACAATCACATTGACTTCTGTCACCGCCCACGCTGATTAATGTCGTCAAACAGTATAAGAATTTTATAAATCATAAATTCTTGACATTACGTACTTAATATTACACAAAACATCTGGACACCGAGCCTTGCTCGGTATTTATACAGTATTAGTATTTATTTTGTGTTTTTTTTTACTTTGTTTAGGCATTTTAAGTCAACACGTTAAGAAGACACAATACAATATAAATCAACAATTAATTTAGTCTAATAACCTCAACAAACACTTATTGACTTCCTGCTACTTAACAACGCCATCTGCTGTTGTATCGTTAAATTAGTTAGTAAAAGCAATTAGCAAAAAGTAGTATTATTATTCGCTAAAAGATGCCAGGAAGAGTCATAATTTAAATGCCTCCTTTTTTTTTTTTCATAAAATGATGTCTTCTAAAACTGATTCCTATCTAGATTGATTTATCGCCCCGAAACAACCAATACACTAAATTTCATGAAAATAGTTGGAGTCGATTCCGAGATCCCAATTATATATGTATATACAAGAATTGCTCATTTAAAGATATAAGATAAGATTAGGAACTAAACAAATTAAAAAGTATATACCTACCATTTAAATAATAATTGGAACAAAACATTTTTTTTGTGATTAGCAAAATATGTAAGATCAACATAAATTAAATGCAACTAATAGTTGTCTTCAATTTCCTATCGCTATATGTTTCGGCTGAAAATTGTTTTATATCAAAATTTGCTCATTTTTCTAACAATATACCATATTCTTTTACGATTGCATAATGCCTTAGCCCTTACAAATGATCAACAAGTCAGTAAGCAACTACATATGTATGTTTTTACCACTCAGGTGCCATCTATAATCCTGTATAGTTAATAGTTAAACATCAATATGTTTGTGTTCACCCTCCGACAGATGACGCTAGTGTTTAAGAAAATACATACAGTTAATTTATCACACGATTGACGACGTAGATTTACAGTTTACACTTTACAGGATGGTATTTGTTGGTAGGGTTTTTATTTATTAGTGAAACTTTAAAAGTTATCGAGTATCCTACCAGACATGTTTCTTCAGGGTTATAATTTGTCCGTGGAGTCCCTCCCGGCACTATTTAAATTATGTGGAAGAAGGAAAAATTTTAAATACACTGTTTATTTCGCTGTATAGCAAGAATACAATAGACATGTGATTGGAATCTACCGACTCACTCTCTTTCTCTCTCATACTTCCTACATTTATGTATCTTTGTCTCTCTCTCTCTCAGTTTAACGTTTAACGCAACCTTGTTAGATTTCACATAAGAATGTTCACTTCAATAAGTAAGAGAACTTCTGGTGTCAAGTGTCAACTATTATTTTTCTGGTCTTAATATTAAAATATTTCTACTTATAGATACATACTGAATTGTATGTGTATGTCTGTAGTAAAAATGAGTAGAGGAATGATACAAAACTTATAGTTATTATCAATATAATATTAACATTATGAATATAATGCTTTATGCTTTGAAAAAAATATTTTTTTTATGGAAAATCACTAAACAAGTATTCCCGTAAAATATTATGGGATCCATATACGACTCAAGTTGTCCTTATGCACAAATTAACTTAATTAGTAAAGATAATATGTATAAATATAATAAAGTGTGTACATTTAATTATAAGTTGTAAAGAGTTTCCTGTTTAGATCACTCATAATTCAATAATCATAAAATTAAGATTGTTTTGTTTTAAAATGAAATTCAAGAAACAATCTTTGTCTTTTCACTGTTGACAGTATTTCAATCCTAGACTATACAGAATATATCTGTGGAATAATTTTGCTGACTTCAGTAGTTACTGAGCTGTCCTTAAATTTTAACTTTAGCAGTTCATTAGGTCCAAAAGAGACAACAAAACTCAATCTCTTTACAAGTGTAGTAGTATTTTACATCTGGACAGTTTCTTTGTCTATAAAAAGCTTAAGTCAAATCCTCAAGTGGTTAAAACCAATATAGTTACCATTGAGCACAGCTCATGCTATTTATTCAATCGGATACAAATTTGAAAGAGTAGACAGGAATAACATGCTCAATCCCTGTATCTTCTTTGCTTATCAGATGATCAGATACATGGTTGGCGTTCATTATCTGCTATAGAACAATCCCATATAAAGACAGTGATATACTTATTCCTTCCTCATAAAAGAGGTTTGGAACCATTTGTCTGAGTTTGTATCCTTCAAATTCTAACTTAGGTGTCTTTAAGTCTAGAATGAACATGCTTTTACTAAGAGATTGCAGTAACCACCTACATAACTATCCCCACATCATTGAGCAGAATAACAGTATGCTATTCAATGGAAATAAAAAATAACATACAATATTTAGAAAATGAAATAATTTATTCTAATAAAATTGTATGACAGATATGAAAGTGAATTAACTTAGACATGTCGGACTTAAAGATAACTATCAACTAGAGCTTGCTACGTGTGTTCACGAGCCGACGATGATGTTGTTGATTGGGATGTGGATCAGCTTGACAAAGAAACCAATGAAACCCATGATGCAGAAACCTATTGCTGTGGCAATCGCTATCTTCTGGAACTCTGAAACAACAAATAAATTCACATTTAATATTATTCTATATCAGTCCTAATACAATGTAAAAAAAATCAGAATGTGCCTAGTATAAATACTATGCTATTCAATTTTATTATTCAGTAATGTAATCAACACTGAATTAAAAGGATTCCCTTTGGCTAGTTAGTGTGATAGAATAAGCACAACAGTTTGTAAATAAAAATATACAATTTCAATGCAAGTTATTGTATAGTTGTGTATATAACACGAATTGTGTTTTGATAGAAAACATTTTATATATGATTAGTTTAATTTGAGAATAATCGTCACAGAGTATTTTGTTTGAAACAAAACTTTGGGCTTGAAAACACTAAAACAATTGAATACAAATAGTTGAGGGTAAATGACATTTAAAACAATTTATCTAAATATATAATAAAGGGTTATATTAAGTAAAAGGATTCATATTAGAATGCAAGTGGCGGGATGCCAGCAGTACAAATTATAATCTGTTAGAGAATGTTAAAAATATAAGAAAAAATTAAAATGGAATAATCTGGAATTACACTTCACATACCTTTTCTGTCAGGCTTCGTGCATCTTCTCACTAATCTGATTGAGTCTTTAGCGAACTGCTTGCCAGGTTCGACAAATTTAGCGATTTGATCCATTTTTCTGAAAATGTAAAACAAAAGTTATATTTACGTAAACCAAATACAACATAGATTTGAGCTTATAATCGCAAAATATAAAACATACCGTTATATATATTTATAATATTCAACTATAAAATAACTAGTTTCACTGATTTTTCGTCTTGTAATTAATGAGCGCAATTTACACAAGCGAGAGACTGTACAAGTTCGACAATTCAAACTAGTAAACGTCAGCCACGTCTCGACGTCGTACTTCACGTCACCATATTATTGTTCGGATACTTACAGTAAAACAATATAATGTACAAATATTAATAACAGTGTTCCTCAATTTTAATTAAACTAATAATGTAAAGATAGTTTTTAACGCAAGACTATAATTCTCTAAAGTTTATTTATAAATATTTTGCTCTTATTGTTTAAACTTTGTGAGTTAATTAAAGCAATGTCATACAAGTAAAGTAATGTAAATTATCAATTGTCAGACTCAGATGTGAAATCTAAGATGTCATAACATTGGAGATTTAATAAGTTTTTGTGAGATTTAATTAATAAAAAGATAAAGGAATTAAACTGCGGCATTGGTATATACTATGAGCATAAAATGCAATGTTTTTAATACATCTATAGTGTTCTATACTTGTTGTGGTGCAAGATATTACATTGATAGTAAATTTTAGTTTACAAGTGTATAAGTTTTGTAAAGTAGTAAAAATGTACGCTGTTGAAAAGAAATTTGAAATAGAAATGAAATTAAAACGAGTGAGTGTCATAAAATAAATGAAATTCCGTAAAAATATTAGTGTTAAACGTATTATAATATATGGGCGTATCTAGGAAATGACGAATATCCAGGAACTAAAGGCGGCTGCGAATAGAAGCTCTTCGCTCGCTAGCGATGTCTGTAATGTTCTGGGCGCGTGTGAGCAGCGCCTGCAACAACTGGAGACTGCTGTTTTACCACTGTATGGAGACACAGCTAGACTGCAACAAATACACCATAGTAAGAATACTTCTTGTACCCTTTTGTCTTGTACCCTTTCATTTATTTATTCTTAATATCACCAAATAGTCCAAAATCCATGTTATGTACGCGACACATATTAAGAAATAATTGAACTGCACCGCTTCGGCAAAATCTTTGTATTAGTAAAATATCATATGAGTAACGCTGCTGACTCTGCGGAACGAACACCAAGCCATATGAACCAGAAGATTCCTGATACCACATAAGCTATGGAATGGTATTGCTATCCTAACATAGGGGTAATCATGTAGTCTTAGGTATAGGTTATAAGTTTTTATGTGTAATAATAATATATACTTTATTGTACACCACAATAGCATAGAAATTTAACAATGAAATATAAATAAAATATTAATTATGTTGCACAATAAGGCGGTCTTATCGCTAGGTAGCGATTTCTACCAGACAACCTTATGGGCTTAGGAACACAGTTGTGATTTGAGAGAAGGGTGGTGTCAAATGTTATAACCGTACAATTTATATTAAATAATAATAATTATCATATATACATACACAAATTCATACATACATACATACATACACACATACATACATACATACATACATTCAAATACTATATCAAATATCAGATGTATTGTCACCATAATTCAATGCCAAGAAATGGTCTTTCACAAGTTTTTTAAAAATTGACAGGTTTTTTGCTTGTTTGATAAACAGAGGCAATGTAATTCTTATTTTGATATACATATAAGTATGTTTCATAGTTTTCCCGGAACCCCCAGTTGCCACCCTACGTAATTCCCATTAAATCCTTCATGTTATTGTTATATATTAAATTATTTTAAGATATGGAGAGCACAGTGACAGCTTTGGACCATGTTATAAACTACTACATGGTGTCCCGAGAACTCGCTGACCTCATTCAGGCCGGACCTCACACCGGGACTACAGAGGCATTGAATATATATTTAGAGGTACAATTGATCATATATTTTTTCTTTTATTTCATTAAGCACATGTAAAGCCTCCGCCTCTCGTTGCCGAAGGCGCGGGTTCAAACCTTGGCAAGTACCAATGTGATTTTTCGGAGTCATATGTACTTTCTGAGAGTATTTAGACATCACTAACATACGGTGAAGGAAAACATCGTGAGGAAACTTGGACTAATAGTTTCAAATTATAAGTTTGAAATCACCAACCCATCTTGAGCAAGCGTGGTGATTAATGCTCAAACCTTCTCCATGTGAGAAAGAGGCCTTGCTCAGCAGTGGGCTTCTGATAGGCTGATACAGGCATACAGGCAAGCACATGTAAAGAAGTTTTACTTCTAAAGTAAAACTTCCTTACACTTAACTTGGGGATAAGCTGGCGAAAGCGTTACGAAAAGTGTGATCGGGTGAGGTGAATGAAAATGAGAGGGAGATATAAGTTAGTGAAGATAGAGAGAGTGTTAAGGTTCATATATTACTGTATATTTCTCTCTCGCTTCCTTTCATTGCCAGTGAATGATTATATTTATTTATTTACTAGCTGCGTCCCGCGGTGTTACCCGCGGATTTTCGGGGTTTCCGGGATGTAAAGTAGCGTATATGTTATTACTGGACGTCAGCTTCCTGTATACAAAATTTTATGAAAATCGGTTCAGCCGTTTGAGCGTAAAGAAGTAACAAACATAACATACACACACACTCACTAACTTTCGCAATTATAATATTAGTAGGATATCTCAGTCGGTAATTCTTTTTAAGTTTTCTCCAGAGATCTTTCTAAACTTCATTCGAAAACATATGTATCTTATTTCTCATATCATATGCCTTTTGTTTCGGTGTTACAAACAACCACAGTAATTACTGATGTACGGAATGATAAATATAACGATATATTTCCTATAGATAGAGCAAAAAAAATTCTACTTCAGTCTTGTGGTCTAAAGAACACTGGTTTAATTTCTGTATAATACTGATTCCAGGCTCTTGATAAATTGGCCGAAGCTCAGAACTACTTCAATAAAAATAACCCGCAAAGTGTTGAATTGGAAAATATTGTAAGTAAAATTTGTTTGGAACTTTTTATTTTTCATGCCAATATTTAATTATATAAAAATATTGTTATAGAACCAGCTATATAATACAGGAGTGATAAAATTGGAAGGTGCTTTTGAGGAACTTCTTAGTCGTAACACTCGGCCACTATCTCCTACTACACTTATGGATATGATTGCATTAGAAGAGGGTGAGAATATTAATAGTTGTAGTCAATGAAACTATAATAAATCTATACTTTATATAGTGTGTAGTATCAAGACTGAATATAATCATAATACAATAATTGAGCAAGTATAACTAATACACTATAATAGTACTAAAGATTTAAGTCAAATTATTTGCTTCCAAATTCTATGTTTACATATATTCAAAGACATACTCTTTATTGTATAGAGTCCATTAGACTTAAGCTGAGCTTTGCATTTGTGTGAGTGAAAGTAAAAGTTGAGTAAAAATCTTTTAGAATTAAATTTTATTGTATTTTAAAAAGAAACATAATATAAGTCCTAGAGCTATTCTAAATTAAAAATAAAATAAGCAAAACTTGTAAAAGGCCACTTGAAAATATTATTTATTTATTTGAAAAAAACTATACAGATTCTTTTTTACTTGACATTGTTTTTTCAACATTTGATTTTGCTGTCAGTACAAAGGGTGAAGTGAGGAAGGTGCGGGGCGGAGTAAAAGCAGATAAACCGGTTCAAATATAGAAAATAATGTGGTATTAAAAAATTTGACATAACACCTACACTATCTGTGTACACTCACACAGCAAAGCTCAGCTTATGCCTCGCTAACTTTAATCCTTTGTATAAAGTTCTTCTTCCTGGCGATTTCCCAGCTTTAGCCAGGGTCTGCTTTATGTTGTGAATAGTTTTGGCTAATTGTTAAAAACAATTAGCCAAAACTAAAACGATATTCACAGTAACGACCGGCCTGACATCAAACCTCTTTGGGAAAATCTTAGAAAGTTATCTTCATACAAATGTTTGTTTTATAGATTCCAGTGTGGATAGTGTGAGTGTAAGTGGTAGTGACTCCACCAACCCGGCAGTAGAGAGTATGCGTAGTGCTGCGGCCTGGCTGAGTGCTGCGGGGCGCGCGCCCTCCGGAGCCCTGCTGGCGGTTAGGGCTCCGGCCGCGCTAAACTCACTCATAGCGTTCAAGGATTACTTGAGGAGCAGGTCTATGGGGGCTTCTCCGCTTATGGTGAGATCATGTTATATATGAGATCTTAGACAAGCAAGTGTTTATTTTAATGAAACTAGTATTTAACCGACGTTTCGGTTACTTTGGAGTAACCGTTATTATAAATATTATAATAGGAGTACTAAATGTAACTAAAATTTACGGATTTACTACGCGATTTTTATTTTTGATTATAAACTACATACTCCCGACGTTTCGGCTACTTTACAGCAACCGTGATCACGGGCAGATGAGATGTGAGTGTCAAAAGTCAAAAAAATAATAATCGCGTAGTACATACTACATCCAAAAATATTAGTTTCATCTAAATGAGCACTCGCGAATATCTTAAATCTCATTATAGGAGTAGTAATCTGAAATATATATAAGTTACATTGAGACATCATGTTGTTACAGTTTACAGTAATGTATTAAAATACACAGAAGATAATTCCTATATGTACCTCCATATTAATGTGATTTCAATTCTTAACATTGAATGTAATTGATATTTTAATTTGACTCAGGTTATTTAAATATTTATCTATAGAGTGAGTGTTAAATATATTTCTATGGTGATTTCTCTTTCAGAAATCCAAGAACATGTTGCATCGAACAGATAGCACACAACGGAGAACAAGTAAAATACAGAAAGTGTAAGTAATGATGTTGGAATTTGGCCTTTTATTACTGATAATGTGGTGAGGTGATGGCCTAGTGGTTAAAGGCCCTCCTCTCGGCATGAGGGCGCGGGTTCGATCCTGGAAATACCAATGCGATTTTTCTACGACATGTACTTTTTAATAATATTTAGACACCATTGAAAACTGTGAAGGAAACCTGGAATTATAACTTCAAATTATAAGTTTGAAATCACCAACCCGTCTTGAGCAAGCGTGGTGATTAATTCTCAAACCTTCTTCATGTGAGAAGAGGCAGCTCAGCAGTGTGCTCTGATAGGCTGATGATAATGAATGTGGTGAGATTTATATATTTTTGTTTCAGGTTGGAAAAACGTGCTATTAATATAATGATGAAGGCCTCACAGACCTTGGAGCAGTCTACGGGCCTGGCCATCGGGCCTAGGAGGTCTATCAATGACTCCTGTGAGTTATGTTATTATTATTTCAAGTCTGTGGGGCTTAGGTAGTTTTAAAGCTAACTAAAGGATATGAGAGAACAAGTGTTATTTAAGGAAATAACTGGGTTGCTTCAAATGATTGATTTTTAACCTTTGGCTTGTATATTTAGAAGGTAGTTGAAAGTTCCTTGGACCACATAGGTGATGTGGGAAAACATAGCTTGTATGTGGGTTGCATCTCATTTTATAAATATTTAACCTTGAAAATTCCCAAAGCCGCTAAAATTTATGTCAGTTATAATTTTCAAAAATAAATAAAAATATTAATGTCATAGTCATATCAAGAAATATAGTTTTAGTTTTCAATTATACGCTATGGTTTTTAGTTTAGCTACATACAAACTATGGACTGATGATAAGATCTACGTCTTTCTCACACATTTCGCCTATCCATGATCACGGTTATTGCAAAATAACCAAAACGTCATAAGAATGTAGTTAAGGTCAAGTTTCACTAAACAATGTTAAATAAATAACTTCTTGTTAAGGCGTTTGTTGAATAGTTACATATATCAAGCATTCCACTATATACTAATGTCTGTTTAAGTATTGTTAAATAACTGTTTATAATAATTTATATTGTGATGTACTTTATAATTCTAAGTTTAACGTTATGTATATTCTGATATTAATTGGTAATTCTTATGATAGTTAACTAGCGCCCTCTGTAAGCTTTTGTAACTTAATTTTGCATTCATATCTTAATTTCTAACAGTATCTTATTATGGCATGTAACTTTCTGCTCTTATAGTCCCTCAAATGGCTGAACATCCCTACTAATATAATAAATGCGAAAGTAACTCTATCTATTACGCTTTCACGCCTAAACCACTGAACTGATTTTAATGAAATTTGGCACAGACATAGAGTTGACCCTGAGAAAGAACATAAGATAGTTTTTATCTCAGACTTTTGATAGGTTCTCTTGGTAACGCGATATAACCGAACTCCACGCGGGCGGAAAGTTAGTAATAAAATAATGGTTATCTTATACTATAAGTTTAATTTCTATGTGTTGTGGGAGGGTAGTTTCAGATGAGTGTATGGATGCGATGGACGAGCGAGAGGCGGAGGCGGCGGGCTCTCTGTGCGCGGCGTTGGTGCGTGTCGCGCGGAGAGAACAGCGGGCGGCGCTAGGACTAGTACCGCTCTCTAGATTACCCGCGCTACTCACGGCCATACTGAGAGACTGTTATAACCTACTAGGTATGAACATACATACATTTAGCCAGGAGAATGATTAGAAGCTAAGCTAGTGTTGGTTCGAATACTTTGCCCTGATATCTTCAATTGAAATATGCCTCTAATTCTTATCGTCGCTCTAACAACGCCTCTCAGTAGTCGATACTAGCGTTTTGTTTCTTATTACTCAAAAAATAAACCGGAGAGATGGGCATATTGATCTATCGATGAGAATAACCATGAGCTAGTATTAGTTCGAATACTTTGCATAGAAATATTCAGTTCAAATTTGTCTCTTAACACAAATGAATCATCATCAGCCTATCGGAGCTCATTGCTGAAAGACCTCTTCTCACATGGAGAAGGTTTGAGCATAAATCACTACGCTTGCAAGACGGGTTGGTGATTTCAAACTTATAATTGTAAAACTATAAGTCCAGGTTTCCTCACGATGTTTTCCTTCATCAAATGAATCATCGCCTTAATTTTTGTCTCTCTTTTCTTATTTTGTTTATTATTTCTCAGCGTCGGAGGTAGAACGCGTGTGTACTCGTTGTCGTAAGGCCGCCTCCCGCTGTAGCGCCGGCGCGGCCGCGTGCTGGTCGTTAGCGGCGCGCCTACAGCGGCTGCAGCCCGATATGACGCGCGCCCTGCACCCCGCCCCGCCCGCGCCATACACAGCTATACTCAACTCCTGTCTGCATCATGTGAGAACTTGTATCCAACGAAACGAGATAAATTATGTAAACATTACACTTGTGACTATCGTTCACAAGTCGTTAACTTATACTATCTGTGAGTTATGAACACCGTATGTATCAAACAAGCATGTTACAAGTCTCTGATCTTGTCTAGTCCTAGTGAGAAATAGTTATGACTTATGATGATTGTCGTCACAGTTAACGAAACAAAATAAATTATATAAACAACTAGCTTTTGCCGCGACTTCGTCCGCGTGGAATAGTGACTTCCGGCAGATTTTTGGTTCTTCCCACGTAGTTCCCGTTCTTGCGGGGTTTTCGGAATGGTCGAGTTCCCGTAGAATTTTCAGGATAAAACCTATGTTTTTTTATTCACAATGAAGTACCTACTCTTAACCAACAACATATTTATTTGTTTATTTGAATAAAGATTAATATTATTACGTTGATACAACTTAAACAAATTATTTCGACCAAATTAGGTACCATAAAAACGGTTTTTGTGAGTTAATCTTAAAAGATATACATATACTGTCGCGAACTGTTTTTTAGATCATTAAAAGAGCTATTATTCTTTAATACATATTTTTTGTGTATCTTGAACCGTTTTCACGGCGCACGCAACGGAAGGCTTCAAAGATAAAATAATTTCTCCCGTTTTTTATACATTTACCACTATATCTTTGCTCCTATTGGTCATAGCGTGATGTTATATAGCTCACAGCCTTCCTCGATAACTGGACTATCCAACACAAAAAGAATTATTCAATTCGAACCAGTAGTTTCGGAGTAGTTAATATGTGTGTGTGTGTGTTTATGTTCATGTGTGTGTGTGTGTGTGTGTCAGTGCGTCCGGTCCCTGGAGGAGTGGGTGGAGGGCGTCCGATGTGACGGCGCGGCGGGCGCGGTGGACGGGACCGTGCACCAGCTGGCGGCCGCCGCGCTCACATACTGCCACGCGCTGGCGGCTCATGTTAACGTTATAGGTCAGTAACACATGATATACTACTAGGTTATACGACATTCATGATAAGAACAACTAAAGGACGAAATCTCGTGACAATACACTAGTGAAATCTCGTAGTGAAGTCCTGCTTGTGCCTATAAATTCCTCATTAGTTCATTTTTTTATTTATTTAAAAGGTACATCAACATCACACATTTAGCACACCTAAACAACAGATAAAATAAAAAAAATAATCTAGGACCTGATATGAGTGACAATTACAGACGTACATAACATTCACAAAAAGAAAAAAATAAAACTTATTGTCTACCTGATGAATTTAAGGATAATTAAATAACTATTAAAGAAAAAAAAAGATGTTTTCTTTAATAGTTATTTAATTATCATAGAAACAGAACAGTGACAAAATGTGACTACAGACTAAGATGTTAATTGACAGATTTTATTCTATTCCAATGTATTTTTCCGATTATGAGAATGCTCTTTTTTGTTAGGTCCGGCGCTCTCCACGGAGGCGAGCTACGTCCGCGCGGCTCACGGTTTAGTCGCCAGCGACAGGAACGCTCTCATGCTATCACTATACATGCGTGAGTCACATACACGATATCATACACTAAACACAATCCATTATAACATGACCTCTCTCCAACAGGTAAGGTCCTAGCTCAACTGAATCTGTCTCTCCGTACTAAGAGCGAGCAGTACGGCTCGGAGTCGTTGAAAGCGATCTTCCTCCTGAACAACACACTGTACGTGATGCAGGGCCTGGCCCGCGGCGGCTTGCTTGACGCGCTGGCTGTAGCCGAACCGCGCGCTGAGGCCGGGTATAGAGACATTGTGCAGGACTACAAGCAGGCCTACCTCAATAGGTAATAGATACTAATACTATTTATTTAACAATTTAAACATGCCAGAAACATTAAAGACAAAAAAGTTTAAAAAGGAAAAATAAGTTTAAAAGGTATACTTATCCCTAGAAGAGATTTCTTCCAGTATACCCAGGAAAGAAGAAGTGTACTACATTCATCCCTACTAATATTATAAATGCGAAAGTAACTCTGTCTGTGTTACGCTTTCACGCCTAAACCACTGAACTGATTTTAATGAAACTTGGTACAGAGATGGAGTTGACCTTGAGAAAGAACATAGGATAGTTTTTATCCTAGACTTTAGAAAGATTCTCTTGGAAACGCGATATAATCGAACTCCACGCTGGCGGAATTCTAGTACAATATATATTGAATAAGGGAAATAGTTAATGAAGTACACGAGATAGTCAACTGGAAAATTGACTTTAGTAAAGGTACTGAGTTTTTTTCGCCATATCGGTCTCAGCGGCTTCAATATGACGTGATGATTAATGGACCAAGTTGAAATTTATCATAATCAGAAATCTCTCGAGATTCTAATATCAATAAGTCATATATAACCCCATTTAAACCTCGCCAAGGTCTTTCGTCCCACCAACCTTTAAACATCTCTCCTTCCAGCTGGAACAAGCTGCTGTCCTATCTGGTACTAGACGAGCCGCTGCCGGCCAAGCTTCGCGACAAGGACCGGCAGCAGCTCAAAGACAAGCTGTCATCCTTCAACCGTGAGTGGGAGGAGGCGACGCGCGCCCAGCGGGGGTACAGCGTGCCGGACCCCGAGCTGAGAGAGGCGCTCAAGAGAGACAACAAGCAGACGCTGCTGCCGCCCTACACCGCGCTGTGGGACCGGCTGGCCGGGGTCAGCTTCACGAGGCACCCCGACAAGTACCTCAAGTACACGCCGCTACAGGTACGCTACCTACTAGCTCTTAGATTACAATAGTAAATAATTACTATACATTGGCTCAAACGTCACTTATTATTCATATGTATTTAATTAGATGTGTATAGATGTGCTTATTAAATTCCTTTTTGTCACTTGTGGCCATAAAGTACGTCACACGAATTTTAGGACTTCGGACGCCGCTCTAGAAGTTAAATAACGTTGCATGATACATTATCTTATTGAGAGAATATTAAATTATTTATAGATATACATGAAATTCGTATTTTTTTTTAATTATCAATTCATAACCAAATATTTAGTTTTAATTTTTTAAGTTAAAATGTGACGTCATAAAACTATTGACCTCCATTTTGGTTGTTACACTTCGGTGATAGACCCCTACATAGAAAATATTATTATAATACTATTTAGTTTTATATATCTCCAATACTTGATTCATCTACATTAAAGTTGTTTTATATTAAAAACCATTTATGTAAATAATTTGTATGTATATGAAATTATTTCTCAACAGATTGCCGCTCAACTTGATGGGTACTTCGATGAAGCTGCTTAGACCACATACACTATGTAATAATATTTAAAATATATTTATATACTTTATAAAAGGTGCTTATAAATTAAATAAAAAACATTTTAAACATCAACACTATATTTTATTATATTTCTTCAATTCTTCGGTTTTTTCTTCTTCTTTTTCTTGGGCCACTGTAACAAAGACACTGAGATAAAATAGTGATGTGACTAATAACACTGGTCAACAAAAAAATAAAAGTTGTTTGTTTCCTTTAATGTTTTTCTTGTTTCTATCTTAAATTGACGTATATTTTTTAAATTTCGAAACAGTTTTCCTGTAACAGCTTTTGTTTTTGAGTTACAGCTAACTACCCTCATTTACTACTTTCATCTACATATGCATTTTTTATTCGACACTGCAACATATTTTGTTGCTGTTTTCGATATGGCTTCGTCGAGAAGATGTTGTGTGCTTAATCCCGACTCTTTTTGCTATATTTGTAGTGAATATGTATTTGCAAAGTATCGAAAACCTATGTCGAACTTGTGAAAAATGTGTATCAACAATACTTTAAAATAAAATTGTTTAATCAGAACAAGCCGTGGATTCCTCATATTGTATGTCAAAAAATGTGTTGTATGGCTACAATTGTGGTCCAATGGAAACAGAGATGCAGTAATATTCGAAACACAGGTGGTCAGGTGCGAGAACCTGAAAACGATCATGACGACTGCTACTTTTGCGTTGTGAAAGTCAAAAAAATTAATCCTGGCAATCGAAATCGGTGGCCACATCCTAAATTATCTTCTGCCCAACGACCCCAATTAAAATCATGAGAGGTACAACCTGGCAAATCTAAATCTTCTGATTACCCGAATCCCTGTGAACCCGAACGAAATTCATCAAGTGAAGATTCTTATTCAGTCTACAAATCTAGCCAAGAACCTCAAGAACAGATCACACAACTCGTGAAAGATTCTGATTTTGTCAAATCAATGACTAAAGTGGAATCGAAACCTTAGAATTCATTTTTTTGGTTATTAGTAATTTCTTAGGCAAAAATAAATCTGACGACTACGTGGAGCTTGTTGAGGCCATGCTATCGAATTTGGAACAACTAGGGTGCAACATTAGCATAAAAATCCACTTGCTGCGCTCGCATTTAGACCGATTTCCAAAGAATCTGGATGAATACAGTCAAGAGCAGGGTGAAAGATTCCTCCAGGGTCCAGGACGTTGGAAGAGCGTTATCAGGGGCGGTGGGACTCACATATGATGGAAAAATACTGCTGGAGTTTGCAACGAAATCTATCTGAAGTCGTTCAGTCAAAAAATTCCTATAAAAGATCATTTCATTGTATTTTATAAAACATTTTGTATTAATTTTCTGAATTTTTGGTCAAAATAAAAAAATATTATATTTCAAAAACTAAAGCTGTTAGAATTTTTTTAGTATTTTTTTCATATTCAGGGACATAGAAATAACTAATAACAGTGAAAAAAATAAAGGAAACAAAATATGTGTTGGGCAGTGTAATTAATATAGACAAGAAACCTGAAATCTACCAAGAACAATAAAATTACACATCATCATTGATAATAAAACTATATATTGGAAAGTTATTATTGTACAATTAATTCATATGTATATAAATTGTACATATGAGGAAGTAATGTATAGCATACATTTATATATATTATTACTTTATTTTAATATTTACTAAATATTAATTATGTTTCGTTCAGTAATCTTCAAGACAGTCAGTGCAATAGTTAATGTATGATGCCAATCAATTTATATTCACAATTTCTGTGAACACAACTGTAAGAAACAAAAGTTTCATATTTTTCAATCCATTCGGTAGTTTTCAAGGTAATCTGTTCAATAGTTAATGCTAATTAAATAAATCCTCGAAGGATATTTGTAAGGGCTCCATCTAGCGTCGTTTTATGGAACTATGTTTATTATCAAACAAATCATTTTAACTAGCTCCGCCCGCGGTTCCGCTCGTCTGTGACGTAGTTGGAGCCCTGTACGTGTGATACTTTACGTTCTCGCTAACTTGCCCCGACCTTGCGTTGTTCCCCGACCGCGGCCGCCTCACACTAACAAACAAACAAACATTTTGGGACGGACACACAACAAATGTCCTCGACTCCCCGCAAACAGGGATGTTGGTGTAACATATATATATATATATATATATATTATACATTATATATAAGTGACGTCACAGCTCCTCAGACACACAAACTTTAATAAATATTATTACATTGGAAAATTGTGATTAAGGACATATATGTAGAACTCTTGGTATATGGATTTGTTTCTAAGATTATATGGAATTATTGATCCAAACTAAACCATAATATTTACAGAATCACAGAAATTAGAAAAAGAATTACAGAATTCTTAACATTCTTTAATCTTATATAAAGTACATAATTTTACCTATTTTACATTGAAGTCTAGTAATTTCAAAATTACTATAGCTTGTAGTCACCAAATTTTTTTTGATAGCCATGAATAATATATAGTCTCAATAGAAAACTTAATCCACAACCATTTTAAATGATATTAATGTCATTGCAATCTGAATTTAAAATGAACTTTAAATATATAATGAAAAAATTCATTAACCCAGTAGGATTGAACCTACCACCTTTAAAACATCACGTTCCCGTCACTCCGTCGACTGAGCTATCGTGTCCGGACTCGAATAATGAATTAAGCTTTATATAATAGTTTCTTAATGACTTTTGTAGAACAATCACTATCATAATGATAAAGTTTAAACACTATATTGAACTATCTTATCTGTATTGAATATTATTATGTATATATAATATGTATGTACCTGTAGCGCGCGGGGCGGAGTCTTGTTACGAGCGAGTGTCCGCGCGGGCGGACGTTGTACTTGACGCTCGTGAGGAGTGAACGCACACGGCAGAATACGACGGAACCTATATATAGAATAAAGTAGAAATAAAAACAAAATGGCTGACTACCTACAATTGGATATGTTTATAATTTAGCAATTATATTTGACTCTGAGTTGTTATTGAGATTTTTTGTCCTTCGCCTAAGAGACACGGATTGTTATTTAGAAAGTAATGTCATTTGTTTTGGAATTTTTTATAAGTTCCTAACTTGGAAGAAAAAAAATGTAATATGCTAGTTGCATATAACATTTTAGAGATTTCTTTTTTCATAAAAACCATTAATGTAAACTAAATTAATATAGAAAAAACAGCTATTTCATTGCTCCTACTGATTTATAAATAATTTTGCATCCCCACTAATATTATAAATGCCAAAGTAACTCTGTCTGTCTATCTGTTACGCTTTCACACCTAAACCACTGAACTGATTTTAATGAAATTTGGTACAGACATAGAGTTGATCTTGAGAAAGAACATAGGATAGTTTTTATCCCAGACCTTTGAAAAGTTCTCTTGGAAACTCGATATAACCGAACTCCACGCGGGCGAAGCTGCGGGCGGAAAGCTAGTATATGTAATATATATAGTAGTATATGTATCCTCACTTGTGGTATGGCAGCAGGTCGGTAGTGATTGTAGGCGGTATTCTCAGTGTGAGCGCGTCCTCCTCGCCCCGCGGACACTGGAGCCCCGTCCCGTCACCCGCTGACAGCAGCAGGGCGTTGGAGCCGTGACTCGGCTGGAAAATATATGATACAACTTTACTCATACATACATTAGATATTTAAGAAGACACATAATTGATAACGTTGTACTGAATAATATGGTTGTACCTTAAAAATATAATACGTATAGCAATATTTTTTCAATTTTATTTGTAATGCATCCAGTTGTAGTTTTCTGTATAAAGACATACATTACTGTAAGAGTAAGACTAAGCCTCGTTTTTTTTTTATACAGACACTAATGGAAAATAATCAGGAAACATCAAAATATATACAAGTCTTCGAAGTTCTTAGACAAAAATTTGATATCAAACTGAAATAAAGCCAACTTAAAATACAAAGAAAAAACATAAAATTTTTCGTATCTTGTAGATAGCACATCTAGTCTTCATATACATGTAATGAAATGGAATTTCATTAAATTCAAATTAGCCGCAACTTGTCGACCAGAAACGCGTCACTATTCACTAATGGCGAATTATGTTTACGTTTTTGTGCTCTTTATAATTATTAATACGTGTAGAGAGATAAACTAAGGGATATAATCGAGGAGGCGATATTAGTGGACTTGAATGTCGTTTCTTTGTATTTTCAGAGAAACAAATTGTGGTTTGCTTTGAATGTCCTTGATAATATTCCTTATACAGGGTGACTGCTGAATTACTATCGATAATTGAGGACGTGATATTTGACGATCATATATGACAAAATAAAAATTAATATAACATAAATATTAATAAACTTCTAAGTAAAGTTAACCAAAAGTTATGAAATTAATTACGCATCGTGTGAACACCCTACAGATTAGGTATACACACACACTCACACACACGCGGCGGGGGCGTGGTTTTGTATCAGCACGCCGCCGCACGCGTCCACACTTGGAACACTTGGAACGTGTCAACACTTTATTTATTTATACGGAAATTTGGTCAAAAATTAAGTACCTATTTTTTTTACATAATTCGAATGAGAATCATGTACCGAGTATTCTCCTTAAATATTGATAGTAATTCACCAGTCACCCTGTATATATATTAATCATGTCACCATACCTCATGTCGCAGCACGTATCTCCCAGGTCTCAATCCCTGTAGCTGTGTGAGTGCGGCGTGCACGTGACCGATGACGTCACACGAGCCGTGACGATACACGAACTGGTGCGCGGACAGACGCTCCACGGTCGCCACCTCGCCCGTACCGGCGTTCAGTCTCACTGGAATAAAGAATATACTCAGTAGGAAGATAGAAAGAAAGCTGCTCATAGGATATAGATAGGGTTCATATAATAAAGATTCATCAAATTAATTCTCACTATACATGCATGAAAGCACGCACACATACACAGACACACATTTACGTATGTATGCGTGTGTGATTATTATAATCTTTAAATAACTAATAACGAAAAAATATTGAAAATCCAAAAAAATATATGTTTCAATGAATTAGAAATTCCTCAAAGTTCCTATATATAGAGACTGTGATTAAAATTATCACATTAACTATTGTTAAGGGCAGCTTAATAAATTAAAAACTTGTCTATGCTTTTAGATGGCGTCTCGCCTTGTCATAGTGAAGTATATTCTTGTCTGTAACTTTAGTTGTTAATAATAACGTGTGTAGTGTATTCTAGTTCATGTAATAAATCATAAAAATACTGTCTGCATCACCATTTTTTTTCCAATGGATAGTTTCTTTATTAAATTAATTAGCAGTTGTCTGGTAACTTTTATGATGTATATTATTTAACATCAACATTTATTTCACAAACAATAAAATTAACAAATCGAATCACTTAACAATTTAGCAAAATCACATTTATAGTGAAACGTTGACGTCCACACTAGGCTTAGGCCTGTATCGAGGACATTGATTAATTTCTTTCATTTCCAAAATATATATAAACCATCAAGTTATTCTCCATAGTATAGTCAGTGTACTGACCGTGCATGAAGGCGGCTCATATACTAAAGATTCATCTAATGAATTCTCACTATACATAAATGAACGCACGCACACATACACACATTTACAAATGTGTGCGTGAGTTTTTTTTAAGTGAACTTGAAATTCCCCCATCTTCCCGTTACATTAAACATCAAGTTATTTGTAAGCCCAGTATATTCAGTATACTGACCATGCATGAATGCTGCGTTTCTTCTTAGCCTGGCTGCCAGTGCGAGTCTCCTGAGCCGCGCCTGGCTCACAGCGGCCGCGCCTAGCTCTATTTGATACTCCGGAGTGGGCTCCACGATCAGTTCCGACTGTTTATCCTGCATCACACACACACACACGTGACGATCTCATGTTAATTCAGTGTAAACGCTGTTGTTATTAATGGTGTCGAGGAATTATTTTTTGTTTCGACTTGACTATAGATGTTAGCCCTGTTAGACTTGGACAGCGTCACCAGAAGGGTGGGTTGGTGAAAAGGAATTTTAAGTGACTAATTATCTTTTATTCAATAGCTCTTAATACTTAATATGGTATTAATTGGGAATAAGTATCGATACGATTTGACCAAAAAAATTCACGGAAAAATATGGCATTATTATCATTTTTTGAACTTGGTTAAGTACATATATAACATATCTCACCCTCAGGCGATGCTCACAGTGTACTATCACACTGTAACTCTCATTATTGCTTCTGTTAGTGATGCGCCACTTTCTAAACGATCTTGGAGGAGGCTTCTCGAACATGGTCCCTGGAACATTTAATACATAGTATAATAATGTTTCTAACATTTAGCAATGCTCAGAATACTTTAAAGAGGTTTGAATCTTGCTTGGGAAAAAAATTTACATACTATATTGTCTAGCAGAATTTAAATTCAATTAGCGCCTTTATTATTTTTAAGACTAAAATTTATCTAAACGAAAATTACGCAGATTGTGTTAAACGAACACAGAAATATGTTCGCAATTAAAATAACTGTCATTAGAAGTCGTGACAAAAAATAATAAAAACTACAAGCACAAGTGTATTTTTGAAATATGTTTAAAGTAATATTAATTTAAGTGATTTTTAAATGCATATGGTAACCACACTTTAGCGCCATCTATCGTCAGTGTCACGTGACTTCATAAACAACTACAACTCAGACGAAATTTTGTAAAAGTTTCATTGAAATATACTTAACCCTTTATAAGAAACTCGTAAAGTATTTTTTGTATATAATTACACATTTTCACGTCTATTATATATTCTAAGAAGATGCTCAATATTATAAATTTACTAAATTCAGTATTTTTCATACTAATATTAATAGATAATATCCTAAGTGTTTTTGAGACCTCTATGTGTTTGTGTATGTGTTTCAACCAGTTGTTCTACTAAACTCCTCACTAACCTTTACATGTACATTTGTCCATGTCAAAGTCATTATCATCAGCATCTAATCTTCCACTCGGCATTTCATTTCCATTCTTTGAATCCTCTTTCTCTGCATCTTGTGTTTGTTCATTAGTTATGTCCATCTTTGTATCTACAGATCAATAAAAGATTATTTAAAGTTATATAATATACAGGGTGACTGGTGAATTACTTTCGATATTTGAGGACGTGATATTTGACGATCATATATGACAAAATAAAAATTAATATAACATAAATATTAATAAACTTCTAAGTAAAGTTAATCAAAAGTTATGTAATTAATTACGCATCGTATGAACACCCTACAGATTAGGTATACACACACACACACACACACGCGCGCGGCGGCGTGTTGTTGTATCAGCACGCTGCCGCACGCGTCCACACTTGTAACATTTGGAACGTGTACACACTTTATTTATTTATACGGAAATTTTGTCAAAAATTAAGTGCCTATTTTTTTTACATAATTCGAATGAGAATCATGTACTGAGTATGCTCCTTAAATATTGATAGTAATTCACCAGTCACCCTGTATATACTAGCTGACCCAGCAAACGTTGTTTTGCCATATATAAAAAAGGGCTTGGCGATAAAAAATTATAAATTTTCGGTTACATGAATTTTTTTATGCTATAAAAACAAAAAGATTCTTCCGAAAATAAAAAAAATCAAGGGTGAACAACCTTTATGACTTAGGGGTATGAAAAATGGATGTTGGCTATTCTCAGACCTACTCTATATGCTCACGAAATTTCATCAAAATTGGTCCATCCGTTTCGGAGGAGTTCTCTGTCTAGCACCGCGACACGAGAATTTTATATACATATATAAGATATTTATTTGAATATTTATAATGTATATTTGTTTGAATATTTCCTTGTAATAAATATTCCTTACCATCAATACAAAGTCTATTGCCTTCATCGTCTGAGCTTCCATCTAAATCTATATCATTAGTATTTTCATCTGAAATATCTTCATTTTCCACATTTTGTTTTAATTTTTCTGATGCTCTGAAAATTTATAGAAACATAAATATATAATGTTCTAGATCTTGTGTTTTTATATATATAATTGTTATATTTAAGTACTAATATGATCTTACGATATTAATTCTTGTTCTAATAAGTACTTGAACGCCTTGTAGGTCCTCGTGAGAGGCGACTCTTTGTTCACAACAAACTCATCACCCAGTATCAATATGTTGACTGGCTCACCATCTATGAATAAATTTTTCATTAAATATCCTACTTCCTACTAATATTATAATTGCGAAAGTTTGTGAGTGTGTGTGTGTATGTTTGTTACTTCTTCACGCTCAAATGGCTGATCCGATTTTAATAACGTTTTGTATAAAGGAAGCTGACGTCCGGGAATAACACATAGGCTACTTTACATCCCGGAAATCAGCGGGTAACACCGCGGGGCGCAGTTAGTTAATTATAAAGTAGAAATTATTATCTTGGTTTGACTGTTAAATTTTAGTGTCATAGTCATGTCAAAACTCACCAGTCAAATGTTATGTCAAGTCACTTCATATCATGTCAAAATAAATAATAAAAAACCTAACTAAGACAGAGAATTTTCAAAAACGAAAATTTTTGACTGAAGGTCTATGAATGCTTAGTTAAGTTACTGCTGTAATGATAATAGTCTATTGTTCAATATATATATACATGTGTAGGATACCTGGGTCAATGACCTGATGAACAGCCAGGGCGAGGTCCCAGGGTCTGTCTAATTCAACGAGACAGCCGAGCGCCTCCTCTGAAGCCATACAGACAGCGCCTCGCTCTACACAATACTGTGCCAACTCTGCCTGAACCGACCATAGCGGCAACATTGTCATAGTTTTCTCATCTAGAAAATTAAATTCATTATTAAATATAGGCACAAAAACATACAAAATTGTCAATATTTTTAATTATTAATGTTCTTTCATGATAAACATTATGTAAAACACAAGATGAATAAATGGTGGGTAGCACACATGTGTTGAACAAATTGCATTAACATATCTATTTAAAAAATAATATTTATAGTCTTTTTTGTACGAGAATTAAGAAAATTTGAGTTTTGGTTTGGAAAATACGTCCAAAGATATATTGTAGATCATATAAACAATTGAAAAAACAAAGGTTTGTAAAATATGTCTTCCAATACTAAAACAAAGTCAAATGTTTCATTTCTATATAATTGTGTATACTTATATTAGTATCTCAACATACTCGGCAGAATGAACCTGCAGATGTGTTTGTTGCAAGGCTCTGGCAGGGGGTGTAGCTTCATGACTACAAACTTCTTTGATAAATCAATTTTATCTATTTTAGGCAACGATGATAAATCCACCTGAAATCATAATAAATGACAAATATTGAAATTACAAACAAGTAGTAAGACACACACACATACACAAACACACACACAAATATTTATCAAACATACATTAATAAGATCCTCTTCTAAAACCATTTCAAATGAGTCATTCTTATAGTCGAGGGGTATCTGTGCTGCTAAACTATAAGTTTTTGGATAGCACTGCATTTCATGAGCTTTTAATTTAATTAATGCTTCATAAACCGCTTCCAAAATTGGTTTTGGCCTCAATGCTCTCACACAATGAGTAGTCGCCCAAAGAGTTTTGGCCCATTCTCGATACTCTTTTTGTTCCTGTTCATAAATAGGTTTTAACTCCTGAAAATGGAAATTAGAACAATAATATTAATTACAGCAGAGATAGATTTAAAGTAATAATATATTTTATGTAATTATTTTCACCTCGAATACTTTATAATCACTCTTCGTAGGTCTCGGAATGAATTCTTGTTCTAGAACATGCAAGTTCTGTGAACAGAGCACTTTGATGCATTGGTAGTGTTGTTGTTCAGTCAAAGCAGACTTCTTGAGGTATTGTGGCAATGCAGTGAGACATGGGACGAAGATCCGATGCACTTTCTCCAACTGTTAAATGAAAGTAATAATAAATATTTGGAATATATTCACATATATGAAAAAAACATTGACTTACACTCTGTGTTTTATTGAAAACTTGATCCCAGTCTACGTTGACCTTCTCATCCTCAGAGTCACTTGATATTAAAGGGTCATGAAATTTGTTTCGTAGTATTTTCTCTGTGACACTGTGAGCTAAATCTTCTTCCTTTACAAAGTATATGTCTGGCTGAGAATAGCACCTATAAACACGTGTGAAATTTTGTAAACATTATTTTCATAATAATACTACTTTATTTATACATTTTTATTATTACTGGAATGCTTAGTAAAATAACTTACCAATCGAATTGTCGAATATGTTCCATTATAAAGAATCCTTCGAGGCACTGAATGCAAAGATTACAACTTATAATTCAATATAAAATATTTTCAACACTGTAAATATAATTCAGCTATTTATTTACAAAGTAAGATGCATTATAATGTCTGCATTTCAAATTGCGCACGCCAATTTGTCATTGACCATATTATGATTTGATGTCTTTTCTACTATGACAATTGACAGCATGGCTTTGACATTGACGTTACCATTTAAATGGGATATTTGTGGTAACAATCAATAAAATCAAAATGTAAAAATGTCTAAAAATCTATTGCTTTATCCAAAATAACAAATTGAAAAGATAATAAAATAATATTTAATTTCTTAACAGCAATAGGCTTATAGTAAGATTTTCCCATTATTGAATCATTTTATATTTTTGAAGTCGATGTTTTTTAACCAAATATCATGTATTTACTTTCGAGAAGTATAGTTTTAAAGTCATTTCCTAATTTCTTTTTAAGGAAGGGAACTGGAAAAATTCCTTTTTATTTAAGGAAAGCCCAGGATTATTGCAGAAGTATTACGCGCAATAAACAAAAATAGTTTTTTCAGAGTAGAGTCTTAAGTTAAAAAACAACTAAAGAGAGAACCACTTGTTTGCATGATGTTGGATAGAAAGTAATAAGAGATTAAAATATTATCATATTTTCATTAGTACTGCATCGAGTCAGCAGCGAAATGCGTGGCTTATTGAATCATCTTAATTAAATTTTCTCCCGTGCCGCTGTCAAAGCCGCAGCAGTAGCCATTACAAAAAAAATCTTTATCAAATATTGATACAGATTATATTATGTATATTATGGTTAACAATATCTTATTTCAATGAAGCTACAGTGTAACAAAAACAAAATTGCTTTATACCTCTGCGACTCAGATTTTTTAAGAATGTCGAGTTTTTAACTTACTAATATTCACATAGACATAGCAATAATGTATAATGTTTTAATAAAGTATTAATTTTTTTAGTAGTTTTATCTATGTAATCCATATGGCGTACTGATAAATATAATATTATTATTGATTACTGGATTGATGAAATTCACTTTAAGGATTCTGTTTTCTCAGGGTGACTTTTTTATAGTATAATTCCTTTCCATCCTACTCGTTTTCAAATCCGACACACTTTCTAAACCGAATAGGATGAGACAAAATCTTTTTATAGTGTTAAGACTATTACAGGGCTAAATCTTTCTTACAATAAGTTTAAAAATTACTGCATTATTTTTTCAAATGTCATAAAAACTCGATTCCGTCGTTAAACTAAAATAAATAAATTGTTATTCCTTATAATGTGTTGTAATGTTTAAAAAAAGTAACTGTTCCAATATTAGTCGCTGAAGAACCCTACACAATAATAGAAGCTTTGAACTATAGGTGTTATGGATTTTTAACACTTGAAATATTTCAATCAGCTATGATTGACATTGATTGACATTGATTGACATTGTGGCCTGACATTGAAAACTCAAAAATTGTAATGCTATTACCATTTATTGCTATTGATTTGAATTTTTTTCAGTTACACTTTAGCTTCATTCTACATTACCCCATCAAAACTCTAAAGGCCATGAACCACTTTCGTGTTTTTTTCTACACAATGTCTGTGCCTTTGATATGTGTACATATGAAAAAAAGCAAAAATTAATCATTTCTAATTTTAAAAACAAAAAAAAAAATATAATTTGCCAGCCTTGACTTTTATGGTAAAATAAAATAATCCATTTATTTGATTAATTCAATAATTTATAATTGTGGTGATATGTTATAGAAAAGATAATACAGACATGTTAATTTTATATTATGCGTAATTACTTACTTCAACATATTTTCATAATACTTTAAATAAAGTTTTTGTTCTGTAACAACAAAGATTATCAATTGAAATCTATTAAATTGTATATAATATTTTGTAAGCACACTTTAATTAAGTCTAACGCCCAACTGGCCTTTAATTAATCACTGCCATGTAATCTTCCAAACATCTCAACAAGGCACTTGTATTAAGTGAAAGAGGGAGGCCATTGTCCAGTCCCTGCAGCCGACGTCATACGATAATTAATTAAGGGTTAAGAGAAACTCTATTAAAATAAAATGTATATATTACTTATAAAATATAGTTTGCTACTAATATATTAATTAATAATTCATTTTTACGAACTCAAAAGTAAAATGGTGACGTTTTGTGCTTCGGAAAACGGCGTAGAATTTGTCAAAACACGTTAATTCTAAGGACTACAAACACCATTGAGTAAGAATAGAAATGCTCTTACTTATTGGTGCAGCAAGGTCGGTTTTCATTGCCGCATTTAGCACCTCTCACTTCATCCCTACTTTGAAGCGGCGGTAATACGACATGCGATATACGGATGAAAAAGTTTTAAGCGATATACATTTCAAATTAAAATAATGGAATAAGCTGTCTGGAATGTGGTTCCCAATAAAAAAAGTCTTGCCTTTGTTTTCTTAACTTTATTATTAAAATTTACTAAGTGCAAGACCTTTTAAAGTATTACGCTAAAGCTTACCGTAAAAGCAAAATATACTTTTTTAAATGAAACTAATATTTTTCGGATATACTACGCTTGCTTTATTTGTAAAAAACTACATACTCCCGACGTTTCGGCTACTTTTCAGCAACCGTAATCACGGGCAGACGAGATGTGAAAATCTATTTATCTAGTAAATTTATCGTAATGTATTAAATCGAATAATTTAGCCCATCGATAGTAGGTGTAGTATCGATTATCACCTATGGGTAGATTATCGATTATATTGCTAGATGACAGAATATTAATGATTTTAATCAACACAATTCTATCGCTATTGATGGAATCCTTTACGTATCACAGAGGACGGATGATTTCGCTATCACAGCTTTAAATTGATACACTAATGAAGGGACACTATACTGATACTGATGATATGTATAAATATCGATTGACTAACTGATTTGTCTATCTATCTCGACTTCTATTTGAGCAGATGAGGTCAGATTATGAAATATCGTTTTGATATTTAGAACTCTTTAACGTATTTGGATTTTTCTGAGTTGTGGATAGAAAACAAAGCTCATCTATAGCTTGCTAATTGTCAAAATATTGGAATATTTCAAAATTTATTTATTTCAATGAAAGTGAAGCTCACAAGATGCTCCTTTAAAGATACTGGGCTTCAGCCTCTTATTACAGTCTCTCACTACCATCTCCCGGTCTTAGCATATAAAGTTTTTGGTTAACAAATCTCCACCAAGATCGGAGATTCACCATATAGTGCTATTGATTGTCCGACTGACATACAATACTTCCTGCCGAGAAAACCTTTTTCGTATTCAAAAGGATTGCCTTTGTAATATCTCACGAAGCTTCGAAGGCGCTGTGGGCTATTAGAAAAACAAAGATTGATATTGCTTTATATGAATAAGAAATAAATTTGTAACCACTATAAGAATTAAGAAAGTTGTAATATATTAATTATTTAGGAGTATGGAAATATTCATTTTATACTCCATTTTAACTATACATATTACACATACATTTTGTGATAAATATTTTTATTATGAGACGGCTTTACGATGAACTGAAAGTAATTAATAAAATTGGGATAATAGTGTTGTTCAAAACGTGGTTCAGAAAAACAAAAGGAAAATATTGGTTGTGGATATATTTAAAAACACTATTCATTTGATCGTCTACAATAAAAATGAGACACAATTTTATTGGTACTGTTTAGAATTATTTGAATTTGCACATTAATTTAGAAAACGTGCCTATTTTGTGTAACGTGATTTGGTGTTAACATTACCGATCTATAGATTACACAATAATTATTCTAAGACTTTGACCTCGTCTGCCTGTAATCATGGTACCTGTAAAGTATAAAGTAACCGAAACGTCAGGTAAAATAATATAACAAATGCGTTTAGTAAGTACGCGTTATTTTCTAAGTAAGTTATTCAAGGGCTCGCGGTCTTCACAGAAGGTCAAAGTAAATTTTTATCCTGTTGAAAATCCAATTTTAGTTGATGCATAATACAGTAGTCGAGAGAGGATCCGATAGGATATTTTTACATACAGGATATATTTCAAGCAAAAATGTTAATAAATCCATCACCGTGAATAAAATTCGTCCCAAGATAATTTGACATCTGATCTATGGGACCACTTACCCTTTCGATACCCGACTCGTAGTTCGTGTGTACAATTTTCTGTGAATTGACATCTACTTGATTTAATTTTCACATGAAATTCTTTGATATTTTCTGATTTTGTTTCTTTATAAAGCAGATTAAAAACATAATTACCTATGTGTCAGAGTGTTTACGTTTAAAAAATGAAGTTACATGACAATGTAGTTATTAGGGCTATATTTTGTTTAATGAATCAGTGTGCCAAAAAATCTATCTATATTTCTATTCAATTTTTTTTGCCCCATTTCTCCTCGTTCCCGGATGGTAAAAAAATCTAAAACTGGTATATATTAGTTACATATAATAATATAAAGATACTTATATACCAATAAATCAACTTACTATCAGCTTACAAATCTTCATGCATTTTTTATGATCGAACAGCAAGGAATTCGTAGCAATCTCTTTGCGATAGTGTATTGACTTAGTTCTCACCAATACCAATAGCACTTAACATCAATTCACTACATCTTTGTCTGTAGTCGTTTAATATTACGAAAGCAATGTTAGGAATAGCATGCTCATGTGTCATATTTAGTTAAAAGCTATTAGGTTATTGAAAGAAATATATCGATGTGTAGAGAACAGACAAAAATACATTAAATTGAAATAAGTGGGACAAATAATTTGTTATAAACGTATAATATATGTATAAAACATATAATTTGATTGTAAATTGCTGAAAGAAATAAATATTTATTTAAGTGTTTCACGTTTGTATAGAAAAGTTAAATGTGGGGAATGTTTGTCTCCGAGGATATTTTAGAAGCAATTTATATACATTATACCATTGA